ACACACACACACACACACACACACACACACACACACACACACACACACACACACACTAGGGTAACTGTTCTGGTAAAAATAAACGCAACTTAAGGCTGAAAACTTCTTTATTTATTCATATCTCATACAGAAACGCAGGAAGGTGGTCGACTCGTTCAATATATGGCTGCAGTATTCCTGACACGTGAATAAATTTAATTCTCTCTGTTAATTTACATTGATAAATTCACTGAGGGGAATCAATGGCTCTTTCATGTCCTCGGATTATTTATTTATTTATTTCATCAAGATTCACCTATTCCCCCTAATTATAATCCGACACACACACACACACACACACACACACACACAGTACCTCGTGTTTGTGGTGGCCTTTATATAGTGCCACAGTGCCTGAGAGTATTGGCACTGTGATAGGATGGTAAAGTAGATTCATAGAGGAGCAAATGATCCCTAGATGTTAATTGATAATGAGGATGATTATAGTTCAGGTGTGTATCATTGTAAACAAAGAACTCTCCCACCTCTCCCACCTCTCCCTTTTCTCCCTCCTCTCCCATCTCTCCCTCCTCTCCCTTCTCTCCCTCCTCTCCCTCTTGGCTCTCATCGTCTTCCTTCGTTCTCACCGTCAGTCCTCCTCCCCTCTTGACTCCCCTCACTACAATCACAATCTCCTCTCACTTCCTCCACAGTTCCCCCTCTACCCCCTCACTGCAGTTCAGGCTCCATCTTCCCCTCTCACTCCCTCTCTTCCCCCTCCCTCCTTCCACCACTACCTCTTACCTTTGCCCCCACCCCTTTCACCTTCTCTTCCTCCTCACCACCACCACTACCACCATCTCACCACCACTACCACCATCTCACCACCACTACCACCATCTCACCACCACTACCACCATCACCATCACCACCACTACCACCATCTCACCACCACTACCACCATCTCATCACCACTACCACCATCTCACCACCACTACCACCATCTCACCACCACTACCACCATCTCACCACCACTACCACCATCTCACCACCACTACCACCATCTCACCACCACTACCACCATCTCACCACCACTACCACCATCTCACCACCACTACCACCATCTCACCACCACTACCACCATCTCACCATCACTACCACCATCTCACCATCACTACCACCATCTCACCATCACTATTACACCTCCCTGGGTTCGATTCTCCTGTGGGTCTTAATGTAAGATGGGTTCACTGTTATCCATTATGATCCAACCGAACCCGTGTCAGGTTGTCTCGTATAAGAGTACTCGGGTGGATGACCTGTACCAACACTGAACACATGGGAGGTAGGATAGGGTGATCAGGTAGTCGTGATTGATGTGGTTTTGTATAAATATAGTTATCAGTCAATCACAGTCAGTCAGTCAGTCAGTCAGTCAGTCAGTCAAACTCTACCGATACCATCACCACCATCTTTCTCCTCACAACTATTGCCAACACCACCACTACCTCTACCCTTACATCGTAATCATCTCTCCCCTATCATCATCATCATCATCATTACCTATCCCCTTACATCATCATCACCATCATCATCACTACCTCTGCTCTTACATCATCACCACCATCATCACTACCACTCTCCCCTTACATCACCACCATCACCACTACCCCTCTCCCCTTACATCACCATCATCATCACTACCTCTGCTCTTACATCATCACCATCATCACCACTACCCCTCTCCCCTTACATCACCATCATCATCACTACCCCTCTCCCCTTACATCACCACCATCATCACTACACTACCACCACCACTACTCCCTCGTCATGGCTGTTGTGTATTGATACATGAGAGTAATGTATGGTAAGTTGAAGCTATTTGTGGGCGGCGTAGCAGGACCACACAACACTGTAAATGAAGTGTGTGTGTGTGTGTGTGTAAAACGATAATAAAATGACTACAATGAAGCAGAAGGTAAAAGTAATTGGCTCAAGTGTTTTAAAGTCAAGGGGGAAATTTTGCGGGGTGGCGCCTTTAAGTGTTGGTGTAGGTTATGGTAGTTAAGGGTGTAAGTTGGTGGTGGTGTTTGTTGGTGTCTGGTGTGGCACGTGCAGCAGGGGAAGACGTCTGGTGCCGGGACCCTTGGGGCGGGGGTCTCCTGGGGCAGGGTTTACCCCATGGAGCGTTGCCCCGGGTGGGTGGGTGGGTGGGTCTAGCCCTCCAGCAGCAGCAGGGACAGGAGGGAGCGAGCAGAGCGATCAATGCTGTGAGCCCACACCCAGGCGGGCCCCGGCACGCGGCCCCCACACCACACCACACCACACCACACCGTGGCTCACCACCCCGCCCTACCCACACTTCCTCCCCACCTCCGCTGTAAACACTCTTTTACATCCTCCAGTGTAGTGCCAGGGCGCCCTTGCTGTTATCAGCGTCTTCCTGCACACCCACCTCACCCCAACACCTGCCTTCAAGTTGGGTATGATTGGTGTGTGGGCGTGCGGCTTTGTTGTGTGCGTGTGTCAGTCCGTGTATGTCAGGGATTCCCGCCTGGAAACTGCACGCCCCTCTGCACAGCGGTGTGGTGTTCCCGGCCCCGTTGTTGTTGTGGTGCCTGGACGACACATGTCTCACACTGCCTCACTTTCCGCCATCCTCGTCACGGTCTTACAGAAATGACATCCATCGCCACCTTCAGGAAGCAACTAGCTAGTGGCTCTGTGGCTTGACTTGTGATTTGTTTTCGTGCTGAAGTGCCAGGGAGTGCCACTGTTAGGATAGTTCAGTGACCACTGCTAGTGTCATCGTGCCAGTGCTGGGAATGCAATCGTTAACAATGTCAGTGTTGTTGGAGCACAGAAATGACCAGTGCTGATGGTGTGGAGTGTAATTATCAGTGCCACTGTTGGGGTGAACAAATGACAGTGCCACGGTTGGGGTGAACAAATGACAGTGTCACGGTTGGGGTGAACAAATGACAGTGTCACGGTTGGGGTGAACAAATGACAGTGCCACGGTTGGGGTGAACAAATGACAGTGCCACGGTTGGGGTGAACAAATGACAGTGCCACGGTTGGGGTGAACAAATGACAGTGTCACGGTTGGGGTGAACAAATGACAGTGCCACGGTTGGGGTGAACAAATGACAGTGTCACGGTTGGGGTGAACAAATGACAGTGTCACGGTTGGGGTGAACAAATGACAGTGTCACGGTTGGGGTGAACAAATGACAGTGTCACGGTTGGGGTGAACAAATGACAGTGTCACGGTTGGGGTGAACAAATGACAGTGCCGCTGTTAGTAGTAGCGAGAGCTGGTAGTTAATGGTAGAGAGTGTTGGTAGTTAATGGTAGAGAGTGTTGGTAGTTAATGGTAGTGAGTGTTGGTAGTTAATGGTAGAGAGTGTTGGTAGTTAATGGTAGAGAGTGCTGGTAGTTAATGGTAGTGAGTGTTGGTAGTTAATGGTAGAGAGTGTTGGTAGTTAATGGTAGAGAGTGTTGGTAGTTAATGGTAGAGAGTGTTGGTAGTTAATGGTAGAGAGTGTTGGTAGTTAATGGTAGTGAGTGTTGGTGGTTAATGGTAGTGAGTGTTGGTAGTTAATGGTAGAGAGTGTTGGTAGTTAATGGTAGAGAGTGTTGGTAGTTAATGGTAGTGAGTGCTGGTAGTTAATGGTAGTGAGTGTTAGTAGTTAATGGTAGTGAGTGCTGGTAGTTAATGGTAGACAGTGTTGATAGTTAATGGTAGACAGTGCTGGTAGTTAATGGTAGAGAGTGTTGGTAGTTAATGGTAGAGAGTGTTGGTAGTTAATGGTAGTGAGTGCTGGTAGTTAATGGTAGAGAGTGTTGGTAGTTAATGGTAGACAGTGCTGGTAGTTAATGGTAGAGAGTGTTGGTAGTTAATGGTGAGCGAGTCATTTGGTAGTTAATGGTAGAGAGTGTTGGCAGTTAATGGTAGTGAGTGTTGGTAGTTAATGGTAGTGAGTGTTGGTAGTTAATATTTAGTGAGTGTTATTACAGTTAATGGTAGAAGTGTTGGTAGTTAATGAAAGTATTAGTGAGTGTTGGTAGTTAATGGTAGAGAGTGTTGGTAGTTAATGGTAGTGAATGTTGGTAGTTAATGGTAGAGAGTGTTGGTAGTTAATGGTAGTAGTGTTGGTAGTTAATGGTAGTGAGTGTTGGTAGTTAATGGTAGAGTGTTGTAGTGCTGGTAGTTAATGGTAGTGAGTGTTGGTAGTTAATGGTAGAGAGTGTTGGTAGTTAATGGTAGTGAGTGTTGGTAGTTAATGGTAGTGAGTGCTGGTAGTTAATGGTAGTGAGTGTTGGTAGTTAATGGTAGAGAGTGTTGGTAGTTAATGGTAGAGAGTGTTGGTAGTTAATGGTAGTGAGTGCTGGTAGTTAATGGTAGACAGTGTTGGTAGTTAATGGTAGAGAGTGTTGGTAGTTAATGGTAGAGAGTGTTGGTAGTTAATGGTAGTGAGTGCTGGTAGTTAATGGTAGAGAGTGTTGGTAGTTAATGGTAGTGAGTGCTGGTAGTTAATGGTAGACAGTGTTGGTAGTTAATGGTAGACAGTGCTGGTAGTTAATGGTAGTGAGTGCTGGTAGTTAATGGTAGACAGTGTTGGTAGTTAATGGTAGACAGTGCTGGTAGTTAATGGTAGTGAGTGCTGGTAGTTAATGGTAGAGAGTGTTGGTAGTTAATGGTAGTGAGTGCTGGTAGTTAATGGTAGTGAGTGTTGGTAGTTAATGGTAGTGAGTGCTGGTAGTTAATGGTAGACAGTGTTGATAGTTAATAGTAAGAAGAAACATGTATAGAGTTAAGAATGTGTATTAATTTCATGGTTGTGATAGGTCAGCATTGGGGCTCACATGACGTTGTGTAGATGTGAGAATAATTGGTACTTAACATCCTATTTTGTGTTATTGACGTCACCTTAAATCCCGGAACGGAAAAAAAATATGTCAAAGTTTCTACAATAATCTCTATTCATACAATCCCGCCATCCCGCCATCCCGCCAGCCTCCCAAAAAGTTTTCCCGCCTGACCCGCCAACACTATATCCTGTTGTCCACCCACAAAATATTTCCCGCGCTGTCTGATAGAAAACGGGCGTAAACATGTTGATGTAAAACGAAGGAAATGGAGGTAAAAGGCGACATATTTCCTGTATGATTCTAATGTGTGTCTGTTGGTTGTATTGCGGCAGAGTATTCCCGTATTGGATTTCGTTTGTGTGTTTCTTAAATGCTGACGAACCATATCCGCTGTACCGGTTATGTGTGTGGATGTTGAAAGAAGTAATTTATTTTATTTTTTTCTAGTTTACCGGTAAGATTAACAATATATTATTTTGTTAGGTTTAAGGTGGTTAAATGGCATATGAAATAAGTTAGGGTCAGGGAGAAAATCTTCAAGTGATCCGTTTTAAAGATTTCTGATGTATGGTCATAGCATTATGTAGACCTGCCGACACCACAAAAGAAACTTGGAAAACTTGAAAATTGAGGAAAAAGAAAAAAAATAAATACTGTACCTGTAATATTTTTATTTATTTATTTATTTTTAAGAGTGAACGATTTTGTGTTTTTGTTTCACCCCATTTTTAAAACCTGTTTATGCGGGTAGGTCGGAGATAAAACACGAGGAAATTGTAAGGAATTGTGCTAGTAGACATTAATATTGTTTTGGGTACACTTAAAATGTGGGGGGTATAAAACATTGAAATTGCTGGGAGAGTGGGAGCGGGGGGTGCTATGAAATTACAGGGGAGGGGAAGTTGGAAGTTGTGTTTAATTGAAATTGTTGAGGGCTGATACAGAAAAAGCTGCGGTGTTGGAGGTGGAAGATGCTAATACTGAAATTGATTAGGTGACACTGCACAGACAAGGGAAGGATGACTGGGTGGCACTAAGATAAGGGGAGGGGTGATTAGGTGGCACTGCACATATAAGGGAATGATCACACATTGCATATTCTTACAAACCAAAGGAATAACTATTCTTTGGTGAGAGGGAGGCAGGAGGGACTTGCTCTGTACCTCAGGCTGCTGTAGAGGGGACAAACATCTCAGACACAGATTTTGCTTAATTGTAGAACAATAGGGCCTACTATGTACAGTAGTTAGCTTCACTAATAGTTATTGAGAAGGAAAATCCTTAAGAGGTGATTGCTAAAGATGTCATCAACACGGCCTCTACAGTACAGTACTGTACTTCTAAATAGTTAGGACCATTTTTAGAGAGTATAACAATGTTATTATCATTGAGAAAGGTAAAATATTTCCCTTAGGGGTGATACTATGCACTTCCAACAGTTGTAGGAAATACAGTAAGTTAAAATGCAGTTATCATTGCACCTGTCTTCTGATCACTGACAAGATCAACTTGTCTTGTACTTCAGGAAATATTTCCCCTTGTTAAAGCAAGTGGAGTAATGACAGTCTTAAAGTTATCTTAACCTTTAAGTGAGGAAGTTTTAAAGATTATTCTTTGGATGTTTTGATGTCATTAAAAACCCTAACCTTTAACACGGGGTCAAAGTCATTGTCACATATTGAAAAATATTAAATTTCCTGTTAGTTTGTTTTGAAGACCATCTTTTGTCTAGTGTATCCTAAAATATCAATGTGTACTTCTTAATTAGTGACCAAGAACCTTTATTAATATTAGCTACACTGCATCACAATAAAGAACCTGTAGGTTAAAATGACCAACATATGTACAGGTGCAGCTGGAAGTGCATCAGCAGCTGTAGTTGACATTACCTGTATATCGTTACCTGGCTTATTCATGCATGTTTGGAAACTGGAAAGGAAACTCTTTGATGTAAACTATTTGACTATTTGTTGTTTGTGACTTTATATGTATTATGAGTTTGATAATTGAACCTGGAAGAACAACCTGTAACCAATATATTGTACCTTTGAGAATTTTCACCTGGGATGGAAATTTTTTTGAACTAAGTTGATAAACACACGGAAATTGTTAGTGGCAAAAAGTGATGAACACAGTAAACCTTGGAAAAAAAAACATTGTTAAGAAAGTAAAGACTGAGAAGGAAAGACAGTTTGACATGATTTTTTCCTTTCGTAATTAACACTGATTATTAAAGCAGAGATTCAGAGAAGATTGAAATAAATTAAACATGTTGAGTGTTATTACAGGTGTAGACTCAGATGTATTGATAAAGAGACAAAATAAAGAGATTTTACTGATACCACTGAGTGCTTGAGGAAACACAGCATGAGGATGTGAGCAGAAGATCACAACAGTTGGTATAGTCTGCTTCTGTGTCCTGCCTCTGAACCTCTTGCCCAGTCACCCACCTCAAGAGGCAGCCAACACTGTCACCACCTCCTGGGGACACTGGTGGGCAGGACAGAAGGTGGGTGGTGGCCCAGCAGAAACCACCACCAGGATATAATTATTAGTGTGAGGCGGCGAGTGTGGACCATGACCCAGGAGAAGCCCAGGTGGTCAATGGTGTGATCTCTCGCCGCCCTTCCCTCCTCTTGTTGCTCCTGTAGCTAGTGTATGGCCGCAATCATGAACTTCCTTCCAGAGTAAGTCATTTCCTGTTTGGCTCACTACTGTACAGTACTTAAACTCTTATTTCAATAGCAACTTAGTACACCAACTGGTTGTGACTACTCAGCTGATAGTTTTTTGTACTTTTGTTTGGTCTTTCGTGATCAAAACTGCACTTGGTGAAAGTTCCAAATACAGCTTAGTACAGTACAGGTACAGTACTGTATCTTGTTTGTGGTTATCCTGTTGATTGCAAGTTGAGTTTTGCACATGGCACTTTAAGGGTCACAACACAAACTCTTAGTACAGTATAGTAATTAATGGTACAATTATGATTATTAGCCGTTTTTTTTACATTACTATTATTAATATTATTGTTATTGGTATTTTTTATGAAGAAGATGAAAAGGGGGGTTTATTGGTTTATTTTAGTTAGATATGTTGCAGGATAGTGTTTTAAAAGCACAGTAAGGGCACAGCCAGTGTAGGAAATTAAAGTTTATACAGTACTATACAGTATAGCATTTCTTTACTATTACAGTACAGTACAGTACAGTAGTTGTTTTATCAAGTAAAGGTAAGTTCTCACCCTCTCTCTCTTTATTATAAGAAAGGGAATTTAGTGAGAAAGACACAGTGTGCATGCATGTGCACTTAAGTCAACTTGTAGGTAAAAATGGTAACAAATTTGTATGTAGAATAAGTATACTGTATACTGCATGTGATGATTAAACCTGGTGGATAATATCTTCAGTGAACTCTTCATTCAACTTAAATTTATCAGTAAATACCAGAATAGTTTTATTAGTGCTATTCCACTAAAAACATTTTTCAGTACAGTACAGTGTAGGGTATTTTACATTTACAAATATTTCGATACCATTTGGACCATTCAGTGACCATGTTTTTAAAGGTAAATGATGTTTGTTGATAGAAAATATTGCATTTTTTCTGTACACAACTAAAATTATGTACGTATACTCATGGGGTGTTTTATTTACAGTATAAAGAAGCGTGTTAAGAAGGGTGGTGGAAGCCGCACCTTACCCTCTACTGGAGGCACACCCACACGGGGGGTCGACAGTCCTGGTGGTGTGCGGGGTAACACGCCCATAGATCCATCCGAGGCCATTGGTTGGGCTGTAGTTAAATACAACTACCAAGCTCAACAGATGGATGAACTTTCTTTGGTTAAAGGTACTGTACTATCTTTGCTTACTGTTATTTGAGGTCTTTTAATGTAAACTTCAGTGGAGAATGTATTCCACATCAAAAACATTGTAATATATTTCAAATGTAAATAGTGATTACCATTAAATCTACGGTACTGTATGCAATACTGTTCTTCTTCTACTGTATACAATACTGTTATCCTTCTTAATTCCCATATACCGTACCTGAGTGTCAGAGGTACATTGTGCTCTGTATTTAAAATGAAAAAGATTTTTAACTCTTGAGAATTGCACTGTTACTCTGAAAGCTCCTATCAATGATCCAATGGTAACTATTGCTGGGATGTTTTATGTTCAGTGGAAATTATGGTAATTTGTGTTTTGTAAAGTAGGTGATCTTCCCTAACAAACAGTTAAAGTTTTGGTCCAAACAAGATTGCTTGAGTACTTTATGTTATGTTTTATTTTTCCACAATGGAGTACAGATCATTATCCTTTGTTTGAAATGCATTTTATATATGATAGTACAGTACTGTATTTTTGAAGGAAGGTAAGACATTAATACTGTATGTATTAATAGTTTAAACAACAACTAACACATGCATTTTCTAATTGCATGTTTGTATATTTCTTTAATGTTTTGCAGGTACAAGAGTTCTAATCCTTGAGAAAAGTAATGATGGGTGGTGGCGAGGTCATTACAACAACCTGGTTGGGTGGTTCCCTTCCAACTACACCACAGAAGAACCCACTGAGGAGGACCACACATACACTATGGCAGAGAATGTGCTTGATGTTGTTGTGGCTCTCTATTCTTTTACCGCACAAAACGAACATGAACTATCTTTCACGAAAGGAGAGAGAATGGAGGTTCTTGACCGGCCACCTTCTGACCCAGAATGGTACAGGGCTAGGAACACTCAATCACAGGTACAGTAATAATATTAGACTCTCTTTGAATGAAGTGACCAGAAAGATACACAAGGGAAGCTAAAGTTGCTATGTGAAATGTTGCCCTTGTAATTAACCAGTAATAAAAGATTGTTCAGTTTGAATAATAGATTTTTAACATGACTTCTTAAGGGAGTTGTGTTGCTTATTGCTTTGATATTTTTAATGTTTACAGCTAATGTTATTTTATCATTTATCATAAATAATAACTGACTTGGAAGATCCATCCAAACACCCTCTAAGTCTGGCCTGTTTGTGCCAGAGGGCTTGACATGTTTTGTAGCAGGAAAATCTAGTACAGTATCATTAAGGATAAAACAGTCACTGCAATACAGTACAATTTCTCACTATTAAATCAAAATTAAGATTCACTCCCATATACTCTGGTAATTCCCTCTTACTTATGTACTCTGGTCATACAATGGGGTTAAGAAGAATTAGTTTAAGCACAAATTCCTAATTAGGTGGAATACTTATTTATCTGTATGCACGCCTTAAGGCCTTTTCATGATATACAATTAAGGGTGGCCAGACTTCAAGGCAAATACAAACTCTTCCATCATTTACTGTCACTCAATCTTACTGCTTAACAGATTTGTACTTTTTGTTATTGTTTTCCCTTTCCATTATAAGACCCCAGATTCCTTTATGGTTTATCCTTTTTCCTCCACACAATGTAGCATCACCCATCAGCAGCATAGTCATCCCCAAAAATCCTCTTTGACACTGTTCTGAGTCAGTTATTCATAGCATTACTTTCTGAATGTGTATCTCTTACTTTTATTGTCCCTCTCCTTGTTGGTATTACTGTATGCTCCCTCTTACCATTCACCTCTTAAGTTGTATTGTACAGTACTGTCTTTGTACCAATCTTTCAATTGCCTTTCTCTCAACCTATCCATACTACTTGACCATATCTCTGTCCATCACATCTTCCGCCTCTACCTCTCCTATTTCTTTACTGTATTTCTTATTTTCTGCATCCTATTTATCCCTATTCCCTATTTGAATGTTCTAAGGTTGGGCTGATTCCAAAGAATTATGTTCAAGAGCTTCATGAAGTGGTAGACACTCGAGCATCACGATCTCGAGAGCCTTCTCAGACACGGCAGCTTCCTCCACCAGGCCCCAGCAACAGTGCACACCCACCTGCTACCAACGGTGGTGCTCACAATGCAGACTCCCATCTTGCACAGGTTTGTGGCAGTTTAATATTTGTACAATTTATTACATTTTACCTCTTTAGAAACTCATGTTGAATTTCCTACACCATCTAAATGTTGAAAAAAATATCATATATATTATACAGTACTGTACAGGTATATGTTTGATATAAAGTCAGCAATGTCATTTTCCAATTTTCTAAGTACAGTAATCACTTGAGTCTTACCTGTCTTTTAGGGAAAGTTTCAGTTCTGGCTGCATTTTAAAATTTTGCAGGGTATGCAGGGCCTTAATATGAATGCAGCAGCACCTTCACCACCTGCTCCAGCGATGTCAGCTGTTCCTCCTGTGAGTGGTGTTCCTCCAGACAAGGGCCACTTCTCCACTAGAGACTGGTACTATGGACCCATCACTCGAGCACAGTGTGATGACATCCTCAATCAGCGAGGACATGATGGAGACTTCCTTATTAGAGATTCTGAAACTAATGTGAGTGAGCACTGGCTGTACAATGCAATCAGCCTTTTATCTTTACCAAAGCATCTTTAATTCAGTTACTTTAGTCACTATAGAAAAACAAAAGGAATTTACTACTAGAATTCAGTCTCTTTAAGAACTAAGTATCACAATTTTTTATTTTGAAATTAGTGTTTAGTACCCTTAAATTTTTATAATCTTAATGCTATTTGCTAATCCTGTGTTTGCCTGATTATTAAGTGCCAGTTGTTTATATAATATGAAGATCATTTATTATTGATTGTCGTTATTTGGTTCTGTAGTGTATGGAATCAGTCACTTACAGTATAACTACGTATGTCTAGAAGGGCCTGGCACTCTACAAATAGTACTTATGAGTCCAGGCTATTTCAAAATTCTGTTTTTCTATTAAATTTTATTTGATTTATTGAAAATGGGTCTTTACTAAACAGGTGTATGTAATTTACTTCTTTTCAGTTCATTTGAAACCTAAAGAAATAAAATATTGTGCAAGTACACATGTAAAGAATAGGGAGTATGGAAATACATTTCTTTGTTTAGATCAGTTCTTTGATGTACCTTAGTGGATTCTTGGTGGATTTAATCTAACAGAGGCCTGTCCTGAAAAAGCTTGAGTCCATCTTTACATTATGTCACATTTGCTCTGCTTAATTGATTTTTGTTGAATATACAAACAGTACATTATAATGCTGCATCAGACTAAAAAAATAATTGGAATGCATCAAAAATCATCTAGAACACAAAACCTAGGGTTGTAAACAGCCCTCAAACCCCAAGCCATAACTGCTCTGCTGGTACCTGTATATGGCTCACACAAATCATTATGTCCAAAGTCTTTCTTAGCTTTTTGCCTGTGTTCGTATGTTTTGTAAACGACAAGAATAATTCGGGTTTCCATAAATAGTGTTGTTTTTTACGGATAGTGTTTGTCGTTATTAAAGTTTTTAATCACATCTTGGGGCTTTATTGTGGACAAGGAATACCATATCAGAACATTTCTGGTAAGGTATTTAGAGACATGAATGACAGGAAGTGAGGGAAAAGTCTGTTGTTCTTTACTATGGCCCCATGTATTAAGAAAGCTCTTAACAGTATAATTTTTTGGGGGGCATATAACTATGTGATTGCAAATCTTGGTAATTCAATGAGTCAGTTACCAAAAGCTTCTGTAAAGTCAAGTAAGAATACACAGATATTACAGCTGCCCAACACTGAATTTAGGTATACTGACAGCATCCAGGATGTCCAGCAGATTAACCATAAAATAAAAAACTTAATTATGGAATCCCATTTTATGGTTGAAAGGAAGAGACAGGTGACCTGTAATGCCTCCCTTCTCTCTTGGTGAGTTTCCTTATCAGCAGTTAAAGGTGACTACTGAGATTTGTAACCCAGCTTTATGACTGAGGGTTTCAGCTATGGGATGTCTTGCTTTATTATACAGTATTATTTCACTTCTAGAATTTTGTATTGGCTTTTAAGATTTTCTTTCATTTCAATGACTTCAAGAACTTAGACATTATCACTTTTTGCAAATTTTCAATAGCGTGAAATGTTTGCATACAATAAAAACAGAAATTGTTGTCACGTAAGTAGTACAGGGCGTCCTCGCTTAATGTCGGGGTTACGTTCCTGAAAACGCGACATTATGCGAAACAGTGTTAAGGGGATCAATTTTCCCCATAAGAAATAGATAAAATATGGGAGTTACATTCCTGAGCCTCCCTTTGCCCCATGAAAAAAGTTACATACTGTATACAGAAACAAATTTATTAAAAATGTGACAGTCTAATCTCCATCCGTGCTCTATTAATAAAGTACAGTCAACCCTCACTTTACGCGGTTAATGTAACCCACAGGGTACTGCGGAAAGTGAGAAACGCGTAAAGTGAATAACATAACATATGGGATTAAATGAAATAGAGACCAGCTGACCTCCAAACTCCACTTTTTCCAACACATTACCTATGTTCTAGTAAAAATAACATCTTAATTTTATGATGGTACATGCACACAATTACTACTTAAGAGAAATAGAGAAATACAGTCGCCAAGTTAATGTCCATTCAAATAATGGACTCAACTCCCTCCCCCTCTTCTCACACTACACTCCTGGCTCTTCCCTCTCTGAGAAATTTTTTGGGGAAAACCAGGTATAGTAATAAATAATACCTCAAACTAAAGTTAGGATAATATAATTGACATCGCTGGATTCCTTGTAAGACCAGGAATATTTTGAATACAAATGTCATATATTTTGCACAAAAGATAACATATTTACTCAGAGTAAACATTATATCTAAAATTTGTATGTCTAATGCAAAATCTATGATGTTTATATTCAAAATGATCATCAAATTGTAAGAATTCCAGCAATGTAAATTATATTCTGGCCGGGTAATTTGTATGAATTTTATGAGCTAAAACAAATATCTTCAGTTAATAAAAAAAAAAATATTCTTCACGACACTATCTGTCAATCAAAGTACCCCACCTTGCCTCCCCCCCTCTGCCAACCCGGCCAGATGGTCGGTCCGCCCCAACCCTCCCCCCCACCCCCCACCAATCCTCCCTTCAAGAGAAAGGTTGGGTGAAAAAACTAGATTTTAACATTTAGTATTAAATAATACCTCAGATTAAAGTTAGGATAATATAATTGACATTGCTGGATTCCTTGTAAAACCAGGAATATTTTGAATATAAATGTCATATATTTTGCACAAAAGATAACATATTTACTCAGAGCAAACATTATATCTAAAATTTGTATGTCTAATGCAAAATATATGATGTTTATATTCAAAATGATCATCAAATTGTAAGAATTCCAGCAATGTAAATTATATTCTGGCCGGGTAATTTGGATGAATTTTATGAGCTAAATAAAAAATTATGCTTCACCCGTGTAAAGGGGTACACCCACCGCGGAATGTGAGCATCCTGGGTTCTGGCAGGGCACCGTGTAAACGTGGAAACGCGGAATGTGGGACCGCGTAAAGTGAGGGTTGACTGTACTGTAATTGAGCACGGACTTGAGGGTAGACTGTGACATTCTTAATAAATTTGTTTCTGATTATTTGTGAGAGGATTTTCCAATTATTATTTATTTGTATGTGTATTGTGTGTGTGTGTGTCTACACACATACACACACACACACACACACACATACCGTATACAATATTACAGGTAAAAGAAATAATTGTCTTCAGGGTAAACAAATAAAAGGAATATACATTTCTTTGTACACAAGTAAAATTGCCATTTGACAAACCAACCAACTCAACTTTAATAACAAAGCATGGAGTTACCCTGAGGGTAGACTCTCACATTTTTTTCTACATTTTGATACATTTTGTTGTCTTGTTTCTGATAATTTGTGAGAGGATTTTCACATTATTACTCATTTGTACTGTACCTGTATGTGTCTTGTGTGTGTGTGTTTGTGTACACACACACACACACACACACATATACAATACAAGTAAAAGAAATAATTGTCTTAGGACAAACAAATAAAGGAAATATACATTTCTTTGCACACCAGTAAAAATGCCCCTGGTCAGCAAATGATATTTGCAGCCATTTTGAGACCCAAACCCCCACAAATTTTAAGGGCATGCTGTACTGCATTACTTGGTAAGGAAATACTACATTTAAATTTTCTTAACCTTATTTACAGGTGGGTGACTTCAGTGTGTCTTTGAAAGCTGCAGGTCGCAACAAGCACTTCCGAGTGCATGTTGAAAATGGACTGTATTGTATTGGTCAACGAAAATTCCAAACCTTGGACCAGCTGGTGGATCACTATCAGCGGTCACCTATTTATACCAGCCAAAAAGGGGAGAAGCTTTACCTAATCCGGCCGTTGCCTAAACCATAAGCTCTATAAATACGTATCAGTAACAAATAGATTATACTCTCCAAAACTTTGCCAATGCTGAAATGATAACTTCTTAATCTCAGCCCTTTGTGGGATAAGCATGTGGGTCCTGGGTCTGTCAAGAAGTTGAAGGCAAGGGAAACTGTCCACTTGGCATTTCAGCTGTTGCTGTTGCCACAGTAGTTCTTCCGCTATCAGAATAAAATTTTATGAATCCATGTCACAACACATTGTTTTAACCTGTCAAGGCCTGATGTTGTTTAAGATAGTGTACTTTTTATAAATCATAGGAATTATAACAATAAGGTTCTTGGTTCACTAATAGCTGAAAATTAACAGAATACAGCTATTATGCAGCTATTATTGGATATAGATGAATATTTTGCCACTCCTTAGACATCATGTTAAAATTAATTCACAGTAAGAGGCTTTGCAGGGTAATGAAGGCAACTATGGAGACACTTCCAAATCTTTGCTGAATGTGTAGTTTAGCATTAATATGACACCTAATAAACTCTGCAATGTGCTCTCTTTGTTGGGATGATTGTTATTATCACTGATTTTTCAGTGGAAAATGTTTTTTCCAGTATATATGGAAAGTGTTGTCCAGTCTTTATGCATTGAGTGTTAATGTAGTATGGTTCATTTTCATTTTGTGATCTCACAAGGACAGTACGTATTTGAATACTGTATTAACCTGAACTGAGTCATGATGAAAAATATGGCTATTGATGTGACAAAGGATGAGCACATTACCTCAGCCATACTAAAGGAACAAATGTGAACAATTAGGAAAAGTTAAGTTTGAAGTTTGTATCTTTTAGCTGACATGTTGCTCACACACACACATAAGGTTACTGTAAGGCTGGAAAGTTAGTCACCAAGATGTCCATCATTCCTACTGTACTGGAGTTAACGAAAGCAAAAGTCCATGTATATTAATTTTTCAGAATATTAGTTGTAGTTGTAAAGTACAGAGTAGAAAGTGCAATCTTTCGTTTAAGGAGAGGAATTTTCCACAATAAGTGCATAAAGGATGGAGCCAGCACCATCGTGATAATATATGCTGCACATACTTTATGACATACTGAAACAGAATCAGCATCCATACTTGACAGTATTAGTGACCGAAGCTCTTTTTCCACTGGTGGTGCTCATGCCCTGGGTTGCAGACTTCTTGGTTGGGCAGATGATGAAGCTTGTGTGTAGCAAATACTGTGCATTACCAATTCCATTTAGAATTGGGCTTGTCTGGTGTGTGATTAATTTGATATTCTCACTAGAGTATGAAAAATGCTCATTTCCTAAATGTTTACTTGGTATGCATGAGACAGCAAGAGAAGAATATGATATTGTGATTTCAGGAACAGCAAGCACAGTGATAATGCTTGGTGGATAAGTGTGTCCCCTTCAGTAATGTGTCTTAGAACAGATCATGTGCATTTTTAACTCTCTTGGATGATCCAAGGGAGAGCCTATTTGATATTCATGAGAAGGATAATTCTCAATTTTGTACATGGCAAGTTTTTTATCAATTTAGCTTTTAGTATTAATATTGCTTCTTATTCCTACTAGTCAGTATAGCTTGAAAGACAAGGCACATTAATGGCAATCTGTGCAGCTTTTTATACTTCAGTTAATGTTTAGATATAGGTATTCTTACAAGATTTGAGTCATGTTTGTGTGTTACATGAGTGCAGAATTAAATTTGTTTTCAGCATGATCTTTTTACTTTGTTTATATTAAGTTTGCCATGTTGATATATGTTATATGAAACATGTTTGAGAACAAACATATTGCATTTTCCTAGATTTGCATTTCTTAGAATTTTGTGTAACTGTATGTGCACATTTAACTTCATCTAGGTTGGTGTAAAGTTTTGTTTGCTTTACAACTTTAAATTGCAGGAATGTATAATAGTTTTTTGTACATTTTTCTTAAATCAGGTTAATGATTCTTGGCACCAGAATCTCAAATCCCTATTTTTCTTGAAGTGGTGTGAGAGTTTATCAGCCTGTGTGTGCTGTATGTTTGTAAGTGCTAGTCATAAGCCCTGCCACTGACACTGGATTCAGCAGTGCTTTAAGCAGCCCAGAAAGAGCGTCAGGCTCCAGCCTTTCACACACTTTTATTGTAATTGCAATGGTACTGTGTAGCCTGCCACCGTTAGTCCCTGCTTTGCCTGTAACCAAAGATTGTCCTTGTTCTGAATTCTTCTGTAATGGTGTGCTTGATAATATAGGCCTACAGTGACCTTTTTTATGATGTACCATTCACAAGTACTGTTCAAAGTGGTTATTCTTGATGACTACTGTACTACTAATGATAATACAAAGAAATGTCCCAGCCTTTACAGAACTAACAGGTTGATCTCAGTGCTGGGCCTGTGCTCTCTTGTCCTCCTTGCTCCCCTGGCCCCTCTGGTTCATGGACAGGTATCCAACACTTGATCATAAACTTTTCAGATTGGTGCTCTATTATATCTTGAAAATCTTTTCTTATGTTCTTTATTGAACAAATGTCATTTTTCTGTAGTTCTAGAACCAGAGGTAAGGTCTAGACAGATATCAGATAATACTCCTTCTCATATGATATACAATTGATATACAGTAACATTTTGCAGACCCACATCCCATACAGTCCGTGTTTGTGCTTCAAATGATAACACCATCTTTGCCGCAACCCAATGCAACAAGTTTTTTTTTTATAAATTCCTAGCAGGTTTGGTTATGACTTTGAATGAATGACATGGATGGTTTTGATAGTTACTATACAAGGTCATGTGCACAAGGAACAAATCTGCTAGTAAAGGTTGTGGTGGATTTGGGTGTTGAGATCCTGGATGGATTTAAGTCACAAAGTTGGATTAAGTTGGCGGCTATTTATTAGTGGACTGAGTAGCTCGTGGCCAAGTGTCCATGAAGTGACTTGGAAATGCTCAGTGTTGCCACTCATTTATACTTTTATGTTTGTACAAAATGTAATTACCTTAAATAAAATTTTTACAAAATAAAGTCTCTCCTTGATGAAAACCTTCTAATTTAATGGATGATATGAATTATTTTATATAAAATTTGCAATGTTATACTGTATATGTGAACTGTTTCCTAAGTACGTAAGTTGAATTAGAAAATTACTTTCCATACACAGAAATGATGAAGGTTTTGCCAGCCTTAGCCACGTCATCTGCTAATGCTCTTGGATTATTTGAACCCAGTTACTTGCTCACACGTACAGTATATCTTGGTTATACTTTAGGTCTTGAAAAGTGTTTTCTTGCCTTTTCCTTAAAGGGCTAATGTTTTGTCGCAACAGGTGACTATTTTTTCATGGGGACCAAGCCACCAACCCACATTGGGGCCCTGGGGGGTGAAAATAATAATAATAATAATTAAATGAAGGAGAATAAGATGCTGGCCCAACGTTCTCAGATTTACTTTAGTTTGTTAATATCATAATCCTTATTGGGATTGTTAATTCTACCTGGTTTCACAAATAGTATACTGTATTAGTGTTTTGCTTGGAAAGGGAAATGAGAATACGAGCGGATCCAGGGGGTCCAGACCCCCCGTTTTCATTGGGAAATTCCAATACTTTTTCTTTAGTGCAGTCTTGTACTCAGGCATTTTTGTATAATAAAAAGTAATTACTATTGACCTCAGAATATCTCTTAATATCGAGTGCACTTGGCTTCAAAATGGTCTCAAAATGACCCCCTAAACCACCCAGCTGGATGGGTTCGCTTGCTTGCCTGGATCTGCCCCTGAAGTACAGGTAAATGATCGTGTAGTCACCCACTAGGGCCACCACTGCAATTTTCTTCCCATTGTCTTCTAGTTTGTGAGCTGTATTAACAATTAGTGTATCAACAGCATCACTGGCTTGATGAATCATTATGCCACTAGACTGTAGGTATTTCTTCAATTTGTTTATTAACTTTGTATTGTTTGTTTGATTACAAAGGAAATTTGCATGTGATATTGTTTGGTATTGTTGTGGTTACATTTTTTCAACTGCAGCTTCAACATAGTGTTTGGAAGCTCGACGAATTTGTTCCTAGCTTTTAAGTCCACAATACTGTTCGTAGTCAACGTTAATTTATCATAGGGAAAGGGGTGTATTCTGCCGCCCAGTATAAATTACTGATAAGGTCTAGGCTTAACCTTACCACCGTTACGGATATCAAACACTTCCTTAGGGGGACATGATTATTGTTAACTTTTTCAATAATAATGCAAAAAAAATATGAATGCTACTTCAGCCTACGGCGAATGTACGAAATGAATAATAATATAAAAAAACACCAAGAAATACAGTACCCTATTTTACGACAGGGCGTATTTAGGCAAACAAAACTTTTGCGTATTTTCCTCCTGAAGCCATAGTTTTCTTAAAATAATATATACAGCACCAGGAAATGTGAGGAATAAATAAAAATAATAGCAATAAATAAGTTACAACAAAATTACTGTATTGCCAAATCGGTAAACAAAAGCCAAATGAAAGTTTAAACCAGCCGCCACTGCATACAGCACCTGTTTCACCGTAGTAACGAAGATCAGCTGGGACGCTGATTCCCTAGCAACGCCCCCCCCCACCCCTCTCGACACTGAGCTCTGCAACAGTCTTCCCCTGTATATTCTCTTTACGTGTTTGCCTTTAGGATAATTATTTCTTTATTTTTTTCACACTGTATGTAAGATGGTGTGTGCGTGTAACTGAGTAAAAAATAAATTAAGAAAGTTACGTATATCTACCCAAAATTACGAGTTGAAAAACAACTATAATACCTCACAGCTAACCTGGCTGCAATGCCATGATTAAGCACTATTTTATCAGTAAACACTAATAATAACAGTAAATCCAGTGAAATTTTGCAAGGAGGGAGAAGAATTATAACAACAGACGATGCAATAACTAGTGGTCACTTATGCGCCCCTGTTGCCAGGGATACGTATGGGGGAAATACATATATTGTAGTCTAATCTGAAAACGGTGACGGGCACAGTGATAAACAGATTATATAAACCATGCCTCTACGATAACATAATAAGAAACATTGTATCATTACTAGAGTGAATGAAATAATATTCCCACAAACAACAAGGGGGAGGGGTCCTGGGGGCCTAGACCCCACTTTTCACCATAAAATTCCAATACCTCTTCTTTAATGTAGTATTGTACTCAGGCATTTTTGTATAATAAAAAGTATTAACTTCAGAATATCTCCTAATATCAAGTGCACATGGCTTCAAAATGGCCATGATATTGGTCAAATTTCAAAAAAATCTTCTGAGACTTAGTGCCCCCCAAAACCCCCCCTAGGCCGGAATATCCCCCGGGGGTTAATAACTTGCCTGGTACACCAGGTTTTATCCCTAATCCTTGCAAAGTTATTTTTTTGGACACAACCCGTTGAAAATCTTGTTTGCGTGATTCAATCTCAATTGTTTCACTGTTCGCCTTACTTGTCCAGTTTTTTAATGTCAAGCCAACTTGTTTTGAATAATTTGTAGTTTGAACGAGCAGGAATAGTGCCATTGTAAGAGTGCCAAGTAAATGTTACTCTGGGCATCAGCTGAGAGGTATTTAGCATTTCCATAGAAGAATTTTATCTTGGCACCATTTTTTTTTATTTACTGTATTGTATTATATTATCTAACGATTAATGAATACATGCTTCAGATTCTAAGATGGGTTAATAGCAAAATGAGTTATTATAATGTGGATTTAATGCTGCATTAATAATATATAGAAGAGGGTGCTGTAATAGGTTGTTTGAACTCATGAGGCTGTGGTGTGATGGTGTGGTGTAAACAGTGTTGCTGTGGATCACTGGAGCGAGACGCTGCGGCGCCCAGCAGCTGATCGTCACAACAACGATGTCAGACGACGAACACAGGTACAACTCATTCTTGGTTGTATTTTACAACTCATGGTGCTTCACGATTTCTTATTTTTCAGTTTCAAGCTTATAACAATATTTTAGGCTTGTTTGTGACTATTGCTGTAGAAAAATTGATTGGTGTGGCTTGCTTGCAAGCAATAGCTATATTGCAAAATGGTCAATCCAGATCTAGTAACTTTGGTAAATTAGCTGATTACTGGAGTATTAGGAAACTAGGAGTCTCTGTTCACAGTAATAAAGTAACCCAAGGGTATAGGGAGGGAAGATGGGCAGCAGTTGAATAATCAATATTTGTGTGACTGAGTGTTGGGAAATACAAGTTTACATAGTTATATGTGTACAGGTGAGCTATCACTGCCTGCAACTGTTGTTGCCAGCATTTCTAGGGCACCACTGATATGCTTACCCAGTATACTACATTTATCAAGTTTTGTGTCTGTCAGAGTAGATGGGTTGTGTATGACATCAAATGGGTCCACTGTTCTGAGTCTACTCGGGGATAATGATGCTCTGGGTATTAGGTTACAGAATACTAAGAGATTTGGGTTAATAATGACGACTGACCCGCTGATGTATTATATGTTTTGATGTTTATTTTCTTAATATATTTTCAAAAGTGAGTTCTAATATGATAATTTTTTGTGAAAATGCTTCGTTTGGTATATAATCAAGTGCGTAGACGTGCAGTACTGTGTATTCTCGGTGATCGTGCGACGGTGACGTCTCATCCGAGGATGTAAACAGCAAATTATATTGACGTATATCAAAACACTCTGCCACGGGGGGGCTGGTCAACTCCGATGCTCTGTGTATGCTAATGAGTTGTTTGGTGTGGGCAGCTGCTCTCAGGTCCAAAAAAACTGTAAAATTACACCATATCATATTAACTTCTTTCTGTTTAATATTCCGGGGGGCAGAGCCTCACGGCTAGGAAGTTAGGTAAGGTTAGGTAGGTTTGTTTCGTTAGGTTGCTGAGATCTTTTAACAACATTTCTGCAGCATGTTTTTATCATCAACTAAGGTTAGGTTAAATTTAGAGAACCACTTTTAACATGTTTGCACAAACTACGAGTGTCCACTATAAAACACAGTGAAATTACAGCGTTTTTATAATAATTTCCTATGAAAAATCGGCTGTGGGTCAGTAGTGAAAAATTTCCGAGATTTGTATAAATATAAGCAATGGAGTTGGTGAATACTGAGGGTGTTTGATGGATTTTAGTAACTTTGCTATTGGTGGAGGAGACAGTTAGGTCAATTTATAGTATCACACCGGTCTTTATTTTGATATTAAAAATAGGTTTTTCGAATGGTATTTGATGAGTTTCGAACAAATTGATATCCTTTTCGTCCGGAATCACTATTTTTTTTTAGATAACTCCTCCCCCCACCAATCATTACGGAAAAAGTTGGAATTTTTTTCTCGAATGAATTACATAAAATACCAACCAACAAAACCTAACCTAACCTAACCAGGCCCCCCTGGACTCCCCTCTGTTCATGCCCCCACATCTTACCTTAATCTGAAAAAGAATCGGGTTCATCTGGGTCGTCAATGTCTGAATCTATTTGAAGTGGTGCTCGTGGTGGTCGGCCACTCTGAGGAGGGTACAGGTGGGCTGCTTGAATGAAGAACCTGTGCAACAAGTTTTGTGTATTTTTTGTAATTAAAATATAACGTGGTAGATACTGTTGTAAATACTGAGCACAAATTCCAGGCCGTTTAACACAACTTTTCAAATCTAGCCACTCACTTTCAGTGTTCTGTGTATGAATAGCACAATTTTCAGGACCCACAAAATTTTCAGAATGGTTAATCATAAAATGAGTGTAGCCCTGGTCTTTAAGAGTATGATGTGCATGCCAAAAATCACTAGAAATCACTGAACCTCTCTGAATATATTTAAAAATCAGGGGAAACAACGTATCCCTGTCCCTTTTTTGACCGACTAGGAGCGCAACGAACTTTTCTTTACTTTCCTGTTCAACATCACCAAAAAGCCATATTTGGCCTAGAATTCTACCAGTATCGTATTTCCGATTACAAATAAGAGTCTCGTTAATTTACACAGCAATTCCTCTCCCCCCAATTTGATTTTGATTTTCAAACCAAAAGTTCGTTACTCCTGAACAGTAGCTGCGCCAATTTACAGAAGTGTTTCTCGAAAAATGCAAACAATCTATAATTGTGTTATGATCCCAGTGTTTGCTAAGCCAATGAATAATTAAAAGGATAAATTTCCAGGGATTAAAATTACAATTATCTAAAAATGTTCCTTTGTAGTCACTACTTCATAGTCACTAATGGAAAAGTTGCACCTTTTCCGTTTTTTTACTTTTTGGCTGAAGAAAACTATTGTGACACCGCCAAAGGTGTTGTTCTTCATGCAGTGTACACTGGTTATTACACTTTGGACAAAGAACTATGCTCGGTAATACACCGTGTTTAAAAAAAAAAAAGAAGAAATTGCCTCACTATTATTCTGGTGAAACTCTGCAATTAACGTAAAATAATTTTTATCACAAAGTCAGCACAGCTCTTCCACCTGTTCAGCCATATCTGGTACTCAAAATTTCAAAATTCAAATCTCCACTCCCGACCCACCCACTCATTGTTAATTGGCTAAAACAACAAAATCTTGCCCAATAAAAATACTTAAGAAGCGAAGACGGAGGTCTGGTGCGATGCGTGAGGGGTTGTCATACCTACTGCGCCATAAGTAAACAAGACATGGCGACACTTGTGACTGAGCGAAAGTAATGATCTTGAAAAATTAATATCTCGGTTATCCTTAATTTCCGGTGGAAATATCATAGAAGAAAAGTGTTTTAGAATTGTCTAAGCAACACGAAATACATATTAATAACAGCGAAAGAAAGACCGGTGTAACACTATAAATTCACCGACGGTTAGCACTGGAAGAAGTTTATAGAATTGCACCAAAGTTTTTGCATGATACTAAACAAGAACCTGACCTAACCTACATAACCTTGCCTATGTAACCTTACCTACAGGTATGTAACCTTACCTAACTTAACACCCAGACCCCCATCTTATTAAGCAGAAAGAACTTATGGTAAAGTTTTATCTTCACATAACCAATGGAATCTTTGGAATTTTATCCTTACAATCAATAGTTTAGATAATTATAAGACACTCTTCTTCTATAACGTTTCCCTCCCAAATGACCTAAAAATTACCTAACCTAACCTCCTAACTGGACCCCTGAGGGAATATCCTATGCAAATGAGCAGTGACCTGTTTTGAAGCTCCAATATCATGTTATGTATTCTACTATGTTCGTAATTAAAACAAATGCGAGGTAAAGGTCATAAAAGAAAATTGCCTTAGAATTGTCTAAACTGGAGATTGCAAGTGTAAAAGTAAAATAATATCGAACTTACTTCTATATCAGTTACCATTGAAAGCACTTTTCTTGAAGTGGCAATGGGTAATTTTATGTCTTTTGTAGATGTAAGAGTACAATTGGTTGTTGCGCTAAAACACATATTTCTTCTTTACCGTCAGTTCTCTGCTGCATTTTGAATACAGTAAACCCTTGTTATTTGCGAGGGATAGGTTCCAAGGAATGGCGCGAATAGGCAAAACTGCGAATAGCAACTTATAGTACCTTAGTGCACTACTGTATACCTGTACCAATCAACCGACCAGCCGCAGCAGCACTCATCCCTTCCTTTAACTTGTCTAATAATTCAACTTTCTATGTCAGGGTCATCACTGACTTCTGCCTTTTACATTTCACTCCACTTGCATCACTAGCACTGACACTAGGCAGTCATTTTAGTGGCCATTTCACACAGAAACACTACAGTTTTGAGAGTACAACACGAGATGCTGTGTGGGGTGACTCGTACTGCGGGAAAAAGCTTGCAAGCTAGCCACCATAGCCACCATCTGCTTACCGTAAATCGTTGAAATCGTGAATCGCAAACCATGTTAACTAATAAATTTTTGGAGATGGTCTTCATCTTCCTTAAGCACATATAATTTGCAATACGATACCAAACACGATGTGATAATGCCATTGAAAAACAAGATGGCTCACTTCTCTAGTTCTCTTTGAGGAAGAACAATAAGTATACGAACATACAGTTCAACTTAGAATCCAATTATACTCCAAAATGTTGGAAATGTATCCTAACTCATAATATGGGATTCAAATCCAACTACGGTATTGTATATGAATCTCATCCTTAATACATAAAATTGATTCAGGAACCACATGCATGAAAAAGAAAAAAAAGGAGAATTGCTCAGGCCATAAGCAAGAAAACCAGGAAGGGAAGTCTGTAAAATTAAAAAAGAAAGATTTATGCTGATATAAGTTGTATTGGTACAGGACCAGTAATAGTACATTTTATGCATTATTTTGCCTCTTTTTTTTAACTTCGGCTTCAATGGTTTGTAATTTTTGCTATTCCAGAACCAGTCTGGTCCCAAGCTTCCTGGATTAGCGAGGTCCAACCTGTAATATAGCATAAAACTAGTGCGCATAATAGGGAATCTTTTCCGCATTAAATGAATTATGGGTAAAATTAGGGTTGCTGCATCATCATCTTTGCCAGGATATAAGTTATGATTAGAATGTAAAGTATGTACTATAGTGCAAGTATAATAATAGCATTAATGCGAGTTCTGTGGCAGTAAGTACAGTACAAGTACTGGTGTTCATATCTGAACCTTGAATTGCCATCTTGATACATTCATTGGAAGCTGATGTGACTCATGCAATTTCATATTTTCATCTTTCAGGGAGTCTTGTTCTCAGCTGGCCATCATCCGTGAAGTGTATGACAGTGACTCGGCTCATGAAACTTTTGAGTTGGAGCTGGAAAAGGCACTGGAAAAAGGTGTAGCAACAATTGTTATAGAGCCAACAACATTAGGTGACGAGACAGCTAGATGGATTGCTGTTGGGAATTGCCTTCACAAAACAGCAGTATTAGCCGGGTTTGGTGCAATAACTTCAGGTTAGTTTATCTCAAGATATTCCCTCTTGTTAGTTCAGTTAAATCTCTCATATTTATCCAGTGCCTAGTGTTTATCTTTTGAACTTCTTCAAAATATCATGAACAATATTTTGAGTTGTCTCCACTGAAGTGCTTCCTGGTGGAGTATGCCATTGCTTTGTAGCTTGAGTTACTTAGTGGTAGGATATTTTATCCATGTCAACAATAGTGTTTTTGCAGTTGGCTCCTTGTCAAGTCTACTGAAAAATCAGAAGTACTGTTCCAGTGGTTGCCTCTGTTTGCCACTGAAGCTATATGTCAGGAGTTAAAACTCTCAATATGTCAGGAGTCAAAACTCTCTGTATGTCAGGAGTCAAAACTCTCTGTATGTCAGGAGTCAAAACTCTCTGTATGTCAGGAGTCAAAACTCTCTGTATGTCAGGTGTCAAAACTCTCAGCCATTAAAAAGTTTAGTTCTTGTCACTAAAGTCACTTGTCACCATCTGGTGGCTACACCCAGAAGACAGAATGTTTCTATTACAGGCACAGTACCCCTTACTTCATGAAAATTCGTTATTTTGGTAAGACCTTGTTTCTACCACTTCTTTGCTATGTGTGAGAAAAATCCACATTTATATGACTGCCCAGGTTTCATTTGTGAAACTTGTTTGACCAGTGTAGGCATGCTTGGACTCTGTTGTGCAGTTGGGGCTCGTGAGGCCTTTTGGGAGTGGGTGGAGCAGCAGGTGCATAGCCACCCAAGAACCTAATGAGAGAGGCTTCAAGATGCCACACAGCGTGGAGAGCTGCCATCAGATAATAACGGCTAACGCAAGTGTTTAGAATCTCACAGTTCACATATTGATTTACCTTAAGTCGTAAAGGAAGGATTAAAGTACCAAATCCCATTTTTTACTAAATAGAAGAAATGGGTGACTTTATTCCCTTCCTTCTCCCAAGTTAGGATTGCAATTTGGCAGTAACTGTGTGGGTTGCTGTATAAACTTTCGTTTGTGACCAAAGGGGTTTAGAATGAGTGAATTTACTGGAGTGATTGGGTCAAATCTCCAATTCAGTTACTTGAAGCGTCTTTAACCCATGGAACATATGCCAGTTCTAAGGGAATCGAACCTTCAACTCTGAGAGTTCTGTTTTGCAGCAAAAACTTTAGCTGCACTGATAGAGTATCCTGCCATTGAACTTTCCAAGTTTGAAAAGGTCATAAGGTGTTTTAACAACACGAATCCATAACTTAGCCAATTTTATCTGTACTGTATTTATGCACACTATATCTTACCATCTACAGGCAGATGTACAGTGTTGTCTTCACACACACACATGACCACTACCTGTTTTGAGATTTAAATGGACAGTAGTATTTTTTAGTGCAGTACCACATACAATATACTGTACAGTACTGTACTTGAGTACAGTTCAAGATTTTATGATAATTTTTTTATGCAAAAAATAAGGGGTTGAACTGTATACAGTATGTATAATATTTTTGAGGGGTTAACGTATATGCATTTCTGTGGGCCATTTACGATGAACGATAGCTACTCAGTACATGATCAAGGTAGGCTAACCTTACTTGGCATAGTAAATTCCGTTAACCTGGGCTTGCCTTCTATACCGGTACCCCTAGATTATTTCTTTAAGTTATGCTTCAGGAAAAGCAGAACTCCATTCACTATATATGCTGCTTTAAATGTACAAAACCTGATACAAATGAAGATTTACAGATAATTTTCCTTTTGTTTGCATCTGTTTACATCGCTGATGGCATTGTTGCCAAGTTAGACTCATCATTTGACACTGTAGCCACATCCCCGGGTAGGTGTACGTATTTTTCTTATATACAGTAAACCTTTGCCATTTGCAAGTTTGCGATTCGCAATTTTGACTATTCGTGGTAAGCAGATGGTGGCTATGGTGGCTAGCTTGCAAGCCTTTTCCCACAGCACAACGAGTCACCCCACGCAGCATATTGTATTGCACTGTCAAAACTTCAGTGTTTCTGTGTGAAATGGCCCCTAAAAGACTGCCCAGTGTCAGTGCTAGTAATGCTAGTGGAGTGAAATGTAAAAAGCAGAAGTCAGTGATGACCCTGACAAAGAAAGTTTTATTATTAGATAAGTTAAAAGGGGGTTGAGTGCTGCTGCGGCTGGTCAGTTGTTTGGTATAGGTATACAGTAGTGCACTAAGGTAGTATAAGTTGCTATTTGCGGTTTTGCTAATTCGCGCCATTTCTTGGAACCAATCCCTCGCAAATGGCAAGGGTCTACTGTATATATTTAGATTTTTACTCACATGCACACACAATCTTGCATACGGAATGTGCCCCCCTTCATCGTCCATAAGCAGTATTTTTCATGTAATATTTTATTTATTGGTATTATTTTCATTTGTTCCACATATTTATTGATACTTTATTTATTAGTTTATTTTGTTCCTCACACTTAAATATCTAATTACTGTATTAAAACATTTGAATAATATCTACAGTAATGTTAATCATCACAGCACAGCATGTACAGTATATTGGTAATAAAGATATTTTAATTTTAGTGCCTTTATTAAAGTTTATTTATACAATAGTGATTTCCCTGTTAGCCAGAATAATTGGTTAACGAGAAAACTCTCTCAAACCTGGAAACATCCCACATCCCCAGAATTTTTCATGGTACAGTTCTGTATTGGGAAAAGTTTCCCAGAATTTTCTGGAAATTGAACATTATTTCATCCTTAGAATTTGCTCTCAACCCTAACATGCATTTTTTCCCCTTACACCGAGAAGCTATTTTTTTGTTAAAGAGATTGAAATAAATGCAGCTGAGCTTTGTTTATATTATCTCAAACAAGATTTTTATTCATAGGGGGTGAGTTCAGGAGAGATTTGGGAGATGACTCAATAACACTGACTTCCTTCATAGAGGTACAGCTGTATTCTCATAAGGAAGTCGGAAGAAGGAAGGGAAGATTCATCATCTGCTTGTATTGTACATCCTTATTAGCAGCTGTTGCTGGACGTGTCGTGACTCATTTGGTTTTTGCAACTGTTGAACAGTTCTTGTTACCCTGTTAATGCTCACACTTTAGTCAGTAACTCTTATTCTGGTGACAATATTTCAATGTATGTCTTCATAAATTAATCTACTGCTTTTTTATCACACTAGACTAATAGAAATGACCTTAATTAATAAAGTTAATAATTTCACCTCTGCAGGTCTAATCTGGCAAGACACGGCCTATGTTTGCGTTCCTCTTGGCACTCTCTCTCTATTCTGCACAGGCGTTTATACAGCATCTTGGCAGTTTGACCCATGTTGCAAGTACCAGGTAAGTTTGTAAGTTTTTTGATCTTCCTTCAGCATAGTGTCTAACAGCATTTAAGTAGATGATTAATACTGTACTGTCTCATCCATGTATTATAATTTGTCAAGATGCTATATACAATACTAATCCATGCTTACACCTTCAGTCATTCACATACAGTACAGTAAACCTCCATTGAACTAGATAAACTTAAGGAAGTGGGACCTGCATTTTTTTTAATTTACAGTAACCGTAATTCTGGAAATTGTTTCCTAGAGCATAAAACAATACCACTTACGTGTGCACAGGCACTCCGCAGGGTACAGATATATTCCGTTCCTGGAGGCTATCCATGAGCCAAATTTTCCATAAGCCAGAAGTAACCCTTCCATAGGTAATCATTGAACACACATAGTTCACATAATGCATATAAATTTGTGTGGCAGAATACTGTGGTAACTACCCATCTCATGTGGCGATATCTCAGTCAGGGAAGATTTTTGGTTCTTACCCAGACCACCCAGGGTCCATGGTTCATAGAAGTACAGTACTAAGGTGCACAACCTTGGGACCCATGTAATATGTGTATAAAGTTTCAGTTCTCTGACTGCGGCATGCATTTTTTAAGCCATATTTCACTGGGTTTTCTGTTATTAATAGTGTTTACTGATAGAATGTGCTTAATAGTGATTAATCATGGCATTGTAGCTAGGTTAGCTCATCATTGTAACCACCAGGCTACTGGGCCAAGCTGTGAGGTGATATGGTTTTTACTCAGTTACATACACACACCATCATACATACATACATACATACTGTATTGTGAAAAAAGTACAGTGGTCCCTCGGTTAACGAGCTCCTCGGTTAATGAGATTTCGGTTAATGAGTTACCTCCCATAAGATTCTTAACTTCGGTTAACGAGCAATCCCTCGATTAACGAGTTTCTTATGAGCCGACCTCCACATGTTTTAGCTTGCATTTGGCGGTCCACCAGCTGTAGTATTAGTCCGCCAATACAGTAATCAGTTCTAGGGCTTAAATTCCTTACCCTTTTAGTAAATATCAAGAAGTTTATACTATTCAATAATTTTAAAAGTTTAATATTAAATTTTTTAGTCATTTTAACAATTATTGAACATAATTGAAGGTAGGGTCACTAGTTTGTGGCACGCCATCCAGCCTGCCAACACAGCATACAGGCATCAGTCTTTGTGTCTTTTCAGTGGAGGTAACATCTTGCTTGAGACTCTTCAACTAAACGCCTTTTTTCTGTGTTTACAAGCAAATTATTGGTCATTTTGAAATTTATTTTGCATATTGACAATATATAATGCAGTGCAGTGTTGATTTAAAGTAAATAATCTTGAATTACACCAAGAGAAATAAAATTTTATGGGTGAAATGGCACATTGGGGTGACTTCCCTTCCACCCCAATGCCTTCTCTTCTCCCTTCTCCTCCTCCCCCATTCTAATTCTCATCATCATCATCATCCAGGAGCCTTCTACATACACACCTCAAAGTAAGTGAACTTTTCTACCTTTTTTGTTGAATTTAGGCAATTTTCGGTGAGCTGGAACCTATTACCCAAAAACCCATTGAAACAATGGTTTCGGTTAACGAGCAACCTTCTAGAACGGATTGTGCTCTTTAACCGAGGGACCACTGTATGCATTATTACACTGCAATTACCGACATCCTTCATGTTGGGTTGGCTAGATGGCTTTCAAAGAAATTCTGTAAGTTTGATCTACGTATCAACCCAGCTGGTGCTCAGATGCCATTCGTTCTACAGACAGTAATTTTTACGAGGAAAAAATTGCTTTATGGCAAATCAACCAACTCAACTTTAATAAAAAACCACCGAGTTGACTTGAGGGTAGACTCACATTTTTTCTACATTTTGATACATTTTGTTTTGTTTCTAATTATTTGTGAGAGGATTTTCACATTATTAGTAATTTGTGTGCATGCATGAGTGCACACACACACACAAAAGAATGTTTACAAGACCAGCTCCCACAGTACCAGATCTATAGTTAATCTATATGCTGACTCTATGTTTCTTATGTTTTTGTTTTAAAAGCTTTTGTCAATCAAGTGACCCACTCCCCAATTCCACTATATGTAACTTATCATCCCTGTTCATTGTATATTTTCAGCTTTTGGGCTGCCATGTTATCTTAATAAACCGTTAATTATTATTATCACACACACACACACACGTATGCTGCCCTTTAGTGTGATCACTTAATTCTAGGGGTACTTAACTTATGTCTTAACTTAATGTCGCTGCCACAGGACAGTGTGTATTGTGTTGTTTAGGTAGCTGGCAAAGCAATCCAGGCACTGTGAGTTCGTGTTTCCTCCGAGATCTCACTGGTCTCCCACCGCTCACAGGCGTGTACACCTGTGTGTAGGAGATGCGGAGTGTCACTGAGCTTTAACAAATGTGTTTACTGGCCTGATGAGCTTTTGTAAGAGAGATAATTGTCCTAAGGACATACACATAAAGGGAATGCAGGTAGTCCCCGACTTACAACCGACTCTTCTTACGTCCACCCGCACTTACGACCGCCTCAGTTGTACCAAAATGTGGTCAAATTATGTATTTTTGAGTCCCAATGTCAGTACACAGACAAAATTTTCATCTGTAATTCACTTTAAAATGACTGGCAAACTTAAAAGTGAGTGTTTTGTGGTGCTGAGAAGAAAAAGAGACCCAAGTCTTTTATTTTCTATGTGTTATTTAAGCATTTCCGACTTACGACCTGGATGTCGGTCCCTAACCCCGTCGTAAATCGGGGAATACCTGTATGCATTTATTTGCATTCAAGTAAAAATGTAACCCCTTCCACAAAATGATATTCGCGATTTGGCTATTCAGGCGGTTTTTAGACCCCCCAACCCCTGTGAATTTTAAGGGCACGCTGTATTTCTGTTTATTATTAAAGACATAACAAACAGTATATAATTTTTGGTGAATTGTACACCATAAGAGGCTGCTGATCACACAAGAAAATAATTATGAATCAATGATAAAACAAAGTCCAAAGCTGGAGTGCACACCAACACCTCTGTCTCCCCCCTCCTGCAGTATCTTTCCTCCCATGTTCCTGACTCCCGTTAGGCATAAAGGAAATCTGATTATACCTCTGTATTTTACCCATTTTTTTAAAACCCTCATCTCTCCCCATCTATGTCAAAGGCTATCATTGTTTAAGGGTTAATTCCTAACTTGAGCAAACAGCCATATTTATACTGAACAAAGTTTTAACTGCTGTGCTTGACCATATTATTCTCGTGATTAATATTATTTCAGTGACCACCTTACTACAGTGATCACTGAGGTTTTGCCAAGTGTTGCAAGTCTCTTCATACGGTATGTGAAAAATGTCACATAGGATAAGAGGGAAAGATAAATGTTCTCCTTTACATATTTATTATAACAAACGAGTTTTTAGATTAAGTATACTGATATATTATTCGAGACTAATACATATATATATTCTAACAGGTTGAATATGACTCTGGTCGTTTGTCTCGTTTGCCCCTTCAGTCACTGTCCTCTGCATCACCAGTTGTTTTAGTGCGAAGGGACGACTCTAAGAGAAAGATTTTACACAACTGCATATCTTTAATTTCATTTTCATACTGCATGTGGAGACTTTATCAGATGTACAAGTAGGTTAATAAAGAGAACATTGATTGTATATGTAGTATCATGAAGACTGTGTATGAATTATATTAATATGATTATTTAGACAATATATCAGTTGTACATGTAAATTCATCCCTGTAATGTATGAAATGTACACTGAGTAGGAATGTATGCATTGTACAAAGGTCATCAAAAATTTTCTACCTAGTAATTACCCCTGTGAGTTACTTGAACATTTACAGCAGGTTGGTAATAGGAATCAGGAGTCTAAATGAATGCAGATAGAACTGTATTTACAGTATTAGAATCTGTTAAAAAAAAATTTTGTATTGTGAAAAAATGTAACATTCATTTCAGTGGAAGGTCATTCTTTATTTGGGGTACCTTTTTTTTGCGGTTAAGTGAAGAAGGATTCTCTGCTTTGGTTACCCAGTTTAACAGAGCAACTGGGAGAAGCGATTTCATCAAGATTTTAGACTTGGCATAATTTCAAGGTTATCTCTGTTACTAACTAGGTAAAACAATTAGAGCTAAGCTCAGGGCATACTACTGCACTTGGTCATGTGGTAGTGTTCAAATAATTACAGTTGTAGGTTTTATCAGTGTTTTGCACTAGGAAAGAGATAGTCTATCACAGGATCCCAACATTTTGAAAGATCTTAGCCAAACAGAAAATTAATTATTCATACATTCTGAACTATCTTCCATTACATATCAGGTATCTTCGTATTGTTGAGAGAAACTTAAAAAATCCAGTGGACTGGATTCGTAAATAAGTTCAAAGTTGGAAATAATTTTGATTTTACAGAGATTGTGATTGGATCAAGTTTAACAAGAGTACAATATTTTGTGGTGTTGCGCCAAATGCTGGACACTAAAAAATTTTTTTTGTATTATATTCAATTAATCCCAAGCATGTCTCATCCTGGCTCAAAAATTCTTCATATGTGATGTGTATTCCATTTTTTAAACTATAGATATATATATATATATATATATATATATATATATATATATATATATATATATATATATACACACACACACACTATACATACATAATGTACTGTACTGTACTGTACTGTACTGTACAGTCTATAAAATGCAGTCTGAAAGAGTATGTATTAATGATTCAGCATTTAAAAAACACTTATATTTTTTAACAAAAGGCATCACCTAAAATTTACAGTGATCATTATATACTGTACATTTATAGTACTGTATATAAGATTTTCAGTTGCAGTTATCTCATACTGTAGTATTTAAAATATGGATGCTCAAATTTTCCCAATTACAAATTAAAATCTTAAATCAAAGATTTTAATGCTATACTTTTTTATTTTGCTAATGTTAATATACTTTGTATTTTTTGTCAAGGATGAAATCCTCTGAATAAGTGTGAGTATGCCTGCACAGAGTCTCAAGTGGAAAAACAAATATACGGTATATGAATGAGTTGGCAAGCATGGGGCTTAAAGTAACAACTTATTTAGCCAGTTTAGTTGGCCTGCTCAAGGCCCAAAGTGACATCTTCCCAACTTTTGATCAGCTCCTTCACTACGGCGACTCCACTTTTGCTATTTTATGGTTAATGCTGGACAGTTTTATTCAGGCCAGACAAGAGTCCGTGTACAAGGGGTTAGAAGACTATCTTCGCTGTCCCTTTCACTACAGGGATGTCACTTGATATTTTATTTGGCTAATGCCAGACAATTTTATTTCGCCCAGAGAGGACCCTGTATACAAGGGGTTAAAAGAAAGGTATCTGCCCCTGGCTTTAGGGTAACAATCCTTTCATGAAAGAAAGCTGCCTTCCATGGGGATTAGGTTAATAGCTCCTTTATAAGAGGAAGCTAATCCTAAAGGACCGAGGATGACATCTACCCACAGTATATAAGAGGGAGCTGCCTGCTGAATAGTCTTGGGTAACAGCAGTTAGTATGAGAAAAAAATACCTGCCAAAGGACTAACAGTAACAATTCACTAAGGGAATCTGCCTGTGAGCAGCCTCAGATTAGCAACTTCATAAATAAGAAGCTACCTGGTGCAGGTAAGAGGAAATTGTTTGTTGTAGTGCTCAGGTTAGGAATTTTCAGCAGTAAGAGGAAGCTGTTTACGACACGGCCCAGGCTAACAATTCCCTGAGTAAGAGGAAGCTGTCTGCAATACGGCCTAGGGTAGCAACTTTCAGCTTTGCATGTATGAATTCTCTGCCCAGCACAATTTTAACTGCTGTTGAGGATCAAACTTTGGCCTTCAAATGAATCGGTGGGACTTTTGTACTCTAATGGACCAATTTTTTGGTGTTTTGCAATACATGATGAGTATTGATGCCCCTCTCTGGAAAAGGAGGTCGAAGGAGATATACTATGTATGGGATTGTACAGATATTTAAGTATGCTAGTGTAATCTGTACATACAATTACAATTACTTGTCTTTATTTTGTAACAGTGAATTAAACCAAATGCCTCATAAAAGATTCATCTTATTATCCCAATAATGAATAGAGTAATCATAGTAAAATGCATTTGAATACTGTAGTTTTGTCTTTGGGTATTGCAGTTCACTGAAGTTTTCCTTCCAACAAGGATATCTTCTTTTTATTAAACAATACTTCATCTCTAGTTACTACTCATGACAGCCAGTCAGTGCAACATATTTGTCGATTATGCTGAGGACCTTAATTATATTCTGTGGATTTTCAAAAGCTCCACAATTTTGGCCAACAGGAAGCTGCTTTCCTCTCATCCTTCAGTGCTGTTCACATCCATTTCAGATAGTAAAGAGGAGTCATAATTTTAACACAATCGCTATTTTTTAAATTTCATATCTACATTTTCTAAAATGTAGTTTTCTGTTCAATAAACCATGTTACTGTACATTGCTATTTTTTTGGTGTATAGTCTCCGAGATAATCTCAAAATACACAGTGCAGTATGAGTCAACATGGAAACAGTTCCACTTACACTGGGCTATTCAATTTGAATAGCTTTACTGTTGCATGCTTTATTTTTTAACATCAAAAGTCATAGCTAATTTCACAGGATTTAAAATTGTGCATCATGTTAAGCATTGTGGGAGTACTGTATGGTGCACCATGGGATAAGTTTACTAGATGTCTGATATGCAACTGTGCTAAAGTCAGTGTGCACAGGCTGTTTACAATATTACCTAGTCTCTCACTTGCTCACTCTTTGCTCATGTACCCTTTCTTGTACATTATTTTGATAATGACATCACCCAAACATCTTGCCACATCTTTTCTTCTGCAAGATGCCCCTTACAAAAAAAGCTAGGAATTAATGCTGGTATTTAAATTAGAAACAATTTACAGGCTTGTGTGGTAGGAATCTTCTGCTTCTCGTGATCATGTGCATGCAGCTGTTGGTCTCCTGTGCAGTTGAGGTGGTCATGTTTGGTTTGGGCCAGGTGGTGGAGGTGTTTGTAGAGCTGTGGCTTATGTAAGTTCTACTGTCATTTCATACTGGTAAGTACTGTACTTCTAATTGCATTTTTATGATGTACAGTCATAGAAAAAAGTCCTGTCAGTCCTCTATCCCATCCATGAACCCAGGGCCATTTTAACAGCATTGTAGGCCCTTGGCAAAGCAATGTCTTGGGGCCCCTACCCACCCACCAACTCAAATGAAAACTAAAACTTTCAGTAAAATTAAACATATAATTAATTGGTAAAGCAAGAATTAATTGACACAAACGTTGAATACAAACGTTTTTCTTCCAATGGATACAAGGATGTTCATTTTTTCTACGTTTTAAATCTAGATTATCCTCTGAGATTCGGTGGCGGACTTCGACAGGCCCAGCAACCTCATGTACTTCATTAGGTGCATCATCGACTTTGTCATTAATTTAGGAGAGGCGTGCTTTATTCATGGGGCTCCTAAAATCGTGGGGCCCTGGGCAACTGCCCAGTGTGCCCATGCATTAAGACGGCTCTGCATGAACCCCGAGACCCATAAACCTGTGAATCCGAGACAAATTCACATTGTGGGCCCCGTAGATGGTGCAGTGTTTGATGTTTTGGATTCACAGGTTCATGAGTCTGGGTTCATTGCTGGGATGGAAGACTGACAGAATTTTTTCCATGACTGTACAGTCAGGGTCAAAAGTTTGCTCCCACCCAAAATGAAGCAGCAATGACCCCAAATGAGATGAAACAAGTCAGGGTAAGTCAGTTCGGAGACTCATTCTTGTGACTCGGTTTCACCACGGGAAGTGAAAATTTGTCCCCGACTGTACAGTACATTAGTTGTTCATTATAGGTGTTATGTAAAAGGTTTGTGTATACATATGCAGTAGATATTTGTTTGAGCAATGTGTGAATATTAGGTAGGGAGAGGGGTCAAAATATATATTCCCGGTACTTGCTCTAGGTAGGGTCTGGAACATATTTCTATTTTATTGTGGACAGTAATGCCAATCCCAAAATACTGCAAGAAGATAAGTGCAACAATTGCCCTGTAGGAGCAGGAGGCCTCATATTACTTATGTGTGACTGAGCAGCACATCTCTTGCTCAGGACCAATTCCACCAATTTTTGTCAGTCCTTAGCCATTTATTGCTTGGGTATTTTTTAATATTATAGTAAAAAAAAATTGCAGTGATTAGTGTGAACACAGAAGTTTGGGGGTTACAGTTCAAGAGACAGTGGCAGCCAGGTCAGCACAACAGGTGGGGATAAGTGAAAAAAGCAAATTGAGATTTGGGAATTATAAAGCATACAGTACCTTTTAATACAAATACTGTCGGAAAATGCTCCTTAAACTGTACAAAACTCGCATACATCCCAGTCTAGATTACTGTGTACATAACTTTCTTAATTTTTTAAAATTCCGTTACATGCACACACAATCCTACATGCATACATACTGCATTGTGAAAAAAAAAGTAAAATAAACTATTATCCCTAGGTCAAATACATAAAGGGAATGAAAAAATTTTTTTTTTAGCACATGAGTTTGCAGGCTGGGAGTGAGAGGAGGGAGCAGTGTAGGGGGGCTCATTGCTAGGGAGTTGGCAGAGGCAGCCTTGCTATGGCAAGTGTTGAGGCCAAGCAGACAGCTTCTATGCAAATGGTGATTGTGTTAAAACTTTCATTTAGCTTTTCCTTATTAGTTTTAGCTGCATGTTTTCATCTAGAATGTATAAAAATGTTTTGTGGTAACAACTGTTGAATAACATAAGGTACAGTACTATAGGTTGTATGGTTAATGAATGCTGCGAGTTGTAAGTTTGCTTCAGCCTTTTGACTTAGTGTGTAGGCTGTAACGTAATATTTTTTTTTTTCACAACTCTTTACTACTGTATAGTCACATCCCCCTTGCCCTCTCCAAGCCAGTTGTGAGCTACGGTATGATTTTTTTTTCTTTTAGATGTACTTAATTTTCTTTTTCTTCATTTTTACTGTTGGATACAGACTGAAAAAAATCTTAAGGAAAAAACATAAAGGGATTAAACTTTTTTCGTGTGTTTAGAGTTGATGCTGAGCAGGGAAAAGGGGGGTTCTGCTGTTCTGAGCTGTCTCCCATGCGTAGTGAAATGGTTGACAAACTTCATCGTCCAGCAGACAAATGGTAATTTTTATTTACTGTATTCTCACATGATAAAAAGTTACTGATACAAATTATTTTATTCCTCATTGAAACTGGAAACTTTATTGCCTAAAACTTACCCCAAAATATTCTTTCAAAAGTTGTATCAGTACAGTACTATACAATATACGTGTACACAGTTTTTCGTCTTCATTAATCTAAGCTTTGGTGGTTTGTAATTTTCAATAGTCCAGCATTGGTCTCATCCCAGGCTTGCAGGACTAGCGAGGTTCATCCTGTATTGTGAGCAAGGATACAATGAAACACCAAATGTACGGTAACACCTTTATTTTTTACCAATGTTTCATGACTGAAGACGACGCATATTTGCATAAAATATTTACAATAAATTTTCTACTAGAAATATACCTCAAACTTTGTGACTTTCATGTTGACAAGAAAACATAGCAACAGTTTTCATATATATACAAATGTACAAAAGATACCAACCCTCCACAGCAGAAAACATTTGCACCAAATGTCAGCCAAGGAACATCAGCATTGCATGTCTCACACAGCTTTTAAGTATCACTTGGTTTGCTACACTAATATCAGCTTAATAACTGCCATTTTGGATGCTGCATCACAAACAAGTGTTATGACATACTGTACGACTAAAAAAATAATCAGTCCTTTTCCAACAGCATATCTATGGCAAGAACACTCCTAAGGACCTTTAAACTTTTTTTTAACTCAAAACAAAATTACTAAACCTTTCATAGATAAATGTATGATTGCCATATGTGAAAACAAATTTCTCAGTATTTGCTCATACTGTACTGGGTGTCTTATTTTGAAGTTGTAATAATACTGAAATTATTAATTCTGTTCTGCATCAAAATAAAAACAATTCACTACAATATGAACTATTATTACCAGTTAAAAAATTGAGGTTGATTCCCACTAATCCAGGACTTTTCAGAGATTCCATTATCATGACATGTCTAAAGATACACCCCCCCCCCACCCCCATGCATTACTTAAAGTGAAAAGTATACCCTGGGGCAATTTGCTCTTTTTTGTTAGGGGGGGGGAAGGACAATAACTCATTTTATCTCCCAAGTTTTCAGCTACAGTTCTAAAGTTTTGTGCAATTTTAAAAATATTCATAGTTTACCAGTCTAATAACATTGCCTCCATATTTAATGTCAATGCTTACAATAAATACTGGAAAAGTGCCTCTCTCTAATAAGCCGTGTTTGAGGACCTGTACTTCTTTGCTCGAGAATTTCAGTTTTCTTGTAATACAAAAAAGTAGATATTCTAAATTTGTTTAAAATACACATTATATACTGGTGACACCTTGGACCTTCACACTACAAAACTTTTCATAAAATAGCAAGTTAATACAAGGATCTGCCTGTTTCATTATTTGTTTATCCCCATGAAAAAAAAAATCCCATTAATTGCCCACTACCACATGACTAGTTGTGACTAAACTGGACAGCAGGGGTACTGTAAGCAATTTTTGTGAGACTTTGACACTACATTCATTATAAAGTGGACAAAGACCTTGGCAAGCGCTGGAACGTGATGCACAATCCCTCACCTTACCATGCTTTACTATTCAAGATCAACTGGAATACAAGGATTATGGCCCAGGGTCCATGTAACTTCAGTATAATTCCAATCCCAAATATAAACTTCAGTGGTATTTTCTTGTGTATGTATGTGTGTGCATGTGAATGCATACTGCATGTTTTGTGTATGAACAAAAGAGTATGCCTACTGTCCCTATTCACACACACACACATGCATGCATTCACACCCAAATCTACACTGCCCATTCACCTGCAAGCACACAATTTACTAGAAGGCACATACACATACTTTAGTACAAACACATATATTGTCACATAGTGTAGATTTTCTTGTCATAAAGAAAAAATATATTTTTTGATTCAGTACATATTTGTCAGATAATGTTACAAACATGAAATATATTACAGCATTATTCAAGATCTTGCAATAACAATGCATATTCAACATATTTCAAACTAACATGTTGACAAAATCACTACAGATAAAATGTATCATGATTTAGCTACCAACAAATACTAACCACTTAATTTTTCTGGGTGTCCATGAACCACATGGTACACTGTGTGTGCATGTGTGCATGTGTGTGTGAACAGGTATGTAGGAAAATATATAAATTACACACAGTTCATAATAACATATAGTTGCTGCTAAAAGGAATGACTCATTTACTTTGAAAAGAGAATTTGATGCATTTGATATCTGCAAATCATATCTCTGCTAAAACAACACTGCCATTACAAACATTTTCATAAAGATACAAGAAAATACTAAACCTCTCACTACTGTCTGCTGTCAGTCAGAATTTTTTTTTTTTTTTTTACATTACTTCTGTACAATCAATAGATTACTTGCCCGCCCATCTTTATTTGAGTAATAAAACTTGTGACCAACTTTGAGTTGGTTAAGTTATTCATGAGTATTTCTTGCATAGCCAGAGCACTTGTGAAGGATACAAAGAGCAGCAGAAAGTAACAAATGAGAGTAGTTATTAGATTTCTTACAAAAAATATGTGGCTTAACTGGTGATACACAAGGGTAATGAACCATTACCAAAAAAAGGCTTCAAAAACCCAACTGGTATCACAAAAATATTTGTTACACTAACTTAGCATATCTAAAGCTTGAGCACAAACATTTTGGTGAAGAACAGAAGTAATACACAAGCATAAATTCTATAAAATAAAACAATCTCATAAAATATATAACCTGAATAATGGCTACGTAATATGGCAGAAAATATCAAATAAATCCTCACTGTAACTGCAAAAACCCTTAGAAATAGTATTGCATCAAGAAAAAACAATATACTAAATGCTTATTAACAACCATATTTAAGTTACATTAAAAAGGGGAAGGCTGAGGACTGGAGCCCTACCACAACAGCTGCATCTAAGGAATAAGACTTATGGTAATTCACCAACAAACTTCACTATCTGTGAAGGTTACCATTTCCTGCAGATAAAGAAATAACTGTTGCTGCTCATCAGATTTTATGGAATGGCACACAGGAAAACATAGGCTTGCAATGTATAATAATAAAGTATAGGACTCTAAGGGAATTTCATTTAAAATTCCAAGAAATATTAAAATTCAATATTTTATTAATCCTTTGTTAACCACTACCATCTATAAGGCAGAAATAAAAACAACCCCTTATATTTTTTTTAGATAAAATTTGGTTAATACAGCCTTATTGCTTCCTAAATGAAAACTTAATAAATCTTATAGCTCTGTTGGCAAACTGAATCTCCAAAACTTCAGCAAACCCACATTCATGCTTACCCATCACATAAATTATATAACTTTGGTCATTATTATTAAGAGATCAGCTGCCATAGCTTCATATACATATACGTATATAAATATTTACTAACATTCACATGATTTACACAGTACCGTAACTCAGGAAACCTTGGGTATGCACTGCATATGCTGCTCCTACTAATACATCATATAACTATACTGGTCATTTAGTCAGATCAGTATTGCATTGAAAGATATATGACAATATTGAATGAACACCTGAATTTATCTGAGATACATACAGTCATTCACTTATTAACTTAGGGAGAAAATATTTTTAAAAGACATTAACATGTCAACAAACATATTCAATTCAGCCTTCAAACATTTAACGGTATGGCAATCTATATAAAAGGTGTAAAATATAAATGTTACATGAAAGTGTCCAGTATCAGCAATCCTAGTTGGAGTTCAAACAAGTTAAATAAGTGGTTTACCACATTACCTTCTAAGCTGTCTCTCTGACTGGATATTGGTGATTTCCACATTTAATACTACATGATGTGAATTTTCACTTTGAAACCATCATAAAATTACTGTAATGACCAAAAAACACCACTATTAGTGACAAGTACTCGTGTGTATATATATATATATATATATATATATATATATATATATATATATATATATATATATATATATATATATATATATATATATATATATATATACTGTATATATATATTAACCAATTGAAAGGATCACTTTTTATGCTTCATATATTGTCTAGTTTCAGATCTACTGTTACGAAAAAAAAAAACTGGACAGGGAGAAATTATTTAATTAGTGCCCCTTTCACAACTCTTGTAAGATGGCAAACAAAAATTCCTTGAAAATATTTGGAAATAAAAGTCTGTATGGCTTTGAATCACATTACATTATTTACTGGTCAACACAGAAATAAAATTCAACAATATCCATGTTAAAGGTTTAAATAACATGACCAAATCCAAACTTCCATATTTCTTCATGTGCAACTTAATTTTGTTTAGAGGAAAACCAATGAATAGTGCATTTCACTCACTATTCTTAAACGCACACTCGCAAAACAAAAATACTGTAACTACAAAAAAGGTAATATATTAAGACTGAACTATTCAATGATTTTGCTCTCACACATTTCACCTTACTCACAGGCCTTCATACAGCAGAATTGGGAAACCAAAGGCAAACACAAAGAGGACAGAGGTACAAGTATTTTGAGAGAAAGAAAACACATTCACCTTGAGAACTTCCATGTATTCAGATAGACAAGGAACATTTTGAAAGTGAGGCAAGATACAGGTATCAAGAGAGAGATAAGCATTCACAAAGTAAGATACATTAGACACAACATACCGTAAATATAAATACAGGCACAATGAAGAAATTGAGGAAATTTTCATTTGTATTAAATTCTATGGCTACTGCATAAAATGGTTCTCTTTCTTCATTTCATTATCGCCACTTGCACCATTAAATATATTTTGCTTAACTCCAATCTGATTACATCTTACAATACGATCAACAGGAAGTGTGACCATTAACTGATCTCTTGAGGACCCATTGATATGTCAAAAAGTTATGGCCTTACGGAAGCCTATTAAACAGGATCTCGAGGAGTCCCCAAAGGCAAACTTAAAAGTTCTTAAATGACTTTCTAATTTGGATCATTAACTAGTAAAAGAACGTAAAACTGGAGGTTTTACACAACATAAAATCTCTAGAAATGTGTTTTCTCTAGAATTTTCAAGATTTCCACCATCTGTACACAAGTATATTTTAACATGTACAGTTAAGGTCTACTGTGCACATGTATGTGTAATTTTGGTATAAAACACGTTATAAATGGACACGAGTATTTGCAGGACTCGTCGAGATATGCTCAGTTGGGGGCAATATTTCTAATACCTATTTTTTATTTTGGAAAAGCATAAACCATCATGGACTTAGTTAGTGTGTCCCAAATGTAAATCATAATTTATAAAATATTCCAACCATTGTTGTGAATGCAACCAGAACTGAGAAGCCTTACAAAGACACAGTATAACCAAAATCCTAACAAATAACCTGGCAAAACCTTCATTCTCTCAAAGAATGATGTTCAATTCCATGAAGCTGCTGCTTCTACAGAGCAGAGGTTACCATAAATTGGAAGGAGCCATAGCAATTGGGTGAGTTAAGACTGTCAAAGACAATATCATCAGAATAGAACATACAATTTCAGCATGCATTTATACAATTATGATGTAAATTCATTATACACATTGGGATACATAGAGGTCAAAGGTGAATCACTGGGCTGAAGCATTTATGGGAGTGTGCAATTCATACCCAACATGTAGAGTGTTTCAGAGTTGGCCACACAAGATAAGCACTAAACTATAAATTGGCCATTAATAAATAAAATTCTCAAAGAAGATGAATGTTGTACAGAAAACTGAGTTCTTGATTGCATATTAGGACATCCCTGAAGATGAATTTGAAATATAGTTGAAAACTCGGTTCCTGTTTCCATCTTCATTGTGAATTAGGTTTATCATGCTATTCATATGTGTATTGTGAACTTCTCTGTGATTTGCCATTAAGTTTGCCTGGTTTCCTAACTTCATGCCACTATTGCCCATAGGGTTAATGAGTGAAATGATGAAAAATATAAATTCAATTTTTTTTTTAATTTTCAATGTTAATATTACTGAATAATATCAACAATAAAACTATACTGGTACCTTCATACCAATGCTTAAATAACAAGTGAGTACCCTGCCATTATTGTATAATTATATGCTCATATTCCAATATTCAATGAAATACAACTCTCCTATACAGTAGATCCAAGACAACATTTTCACTATTCTTTCAATACAAAGCCACTACTCATCAACCTACATCAACCAAAAATTCCAATTTTGTGCCAATTTGCTAAACAGAATGTTAAATTCCTCATAAACTTCTCAAATCTAACCATTTCAAAATATACAGATTTAAAGAACAGGTTGTAGATGTTCTAAACCTTACATACCTGCTGTAAACAAGAACTACACACATCATAGCTGTGATGCTGAAGTTAAACACTTTGCAACATATTACAGCAGCCTTAGTCTTGAAAAGCTATGTATCCTTAACCAGTCTTAGCATGACTGACTTAACAAAAAAAAAGCACCACAGGAAACTAATATAAGTAAATAATGACTGGGTACTATGTGACTTAGAAAATATTATGGCCTCGCATAACATTAACATCAGGTAATGTGAGCTCAAACATCTGGACCCTGTTTCATAAAATGTCAGGGAAATTTTTTATCCCTTGACTTTGCATATAATCTCAGCTGACCTTACAGGAGTGCCTTATTGCAGGGCGTAACTTCTCTTACAACAGAAAATGACCTCTCCAAAGAATCATCACCCTGTGCAGGTTTAATTGCACAATTTCAATAATTATTTCCTAATATAGTTTTCTGTCATTCCTTTCAATCTTAAATGATATACCTTTATTATAGAATGACATTACATATTCACTTCTCACTTCCTCCTTGGGACTATTTAGGAAACACACAAAATATTATTAAAAATGAATGAACAAATAGAATTCAATGGGCTGGCTGATAATAATTGAGATAGGTCCCTGGCACTGCCTACTTGATATGGGGTACTTTTGATTAACTGGTTTATAAATTACATGAATTCCTGCAACACAAAAATATATACAGGTCCAGGAATCACTAGAATTTCAGTAATAATTATTTTAGAATCTTGGTAAATGCAAATCCTCTATTATCTTATACAGTATAAACTGTAAATATAACATAAAACTCAGGGGTTTATCCACCTAAAGTTCTGTAATACCTATCACTGGAATGCACAAGATTTGTCTAAAAGGAGGTATAAGGGATCTTTACACCTTGCAAATCCATTCATACAAAAAGAAACCTACTGGTAGTTACACCCCCCAATAAAGAAAACGTTTGCATCCCTTGTTCCCTTTTCCACTAGCGAAGTGCCAAGACCTCTTGACCCTCCCTTTAGCACCATCCTATGTTATGCTGAGCCAAAGCCCAATTGCTTTATGTCATGAATCACTGGCCTCACCAAAAACTCTTCTTTGGCCTCTTGAATACTCACACAGTTACATTTCTACTATCACAAATTAAGTGTACTGTACCTGTAAGAAATGCTTGAATAGTTTTCTAATACTTTACTGATAAAACAAAACTCTTCTTTAATATAAACATCACATTCAGTGTTCAAACTCATTCAGTCACATCAAGCCTTCCAACATCTTGCCCCATTACAAGAAACAATAAATATATTCATCTGGAAAATGTTTCTTTTGAAGAACAGTTGATACTCTAATTCCTGGACTCAACAGTCATTGTTAACTACTCTTTACTAATAAAATGCTCACCATTGCAAATGTAAACAACCATCAACATATCTTCAACTCTCACAAGACAACAGCTATGTCTATTTTGGTGTGAGTACCTGTTCTAAAATGCTGCCAAAAGAAGTGGTTATATGTATTATTGCACCACAAAATTTTTGTACTCAAGACCTGACAGTCTTTGGTACGTTGCACATCTCTTCAATATTTGCCTCTTTACACTCAGCACCATGGTGACCTACCTGCCCACAGTTGTAGCAAGACTTCTTGGCACCAGCGGACGGATTGGGCGTGTGGGGCATGGTGGGAGGGTAGTGAGTATAGGGCAGTCCTGCTGCAAGTCCTGGGCCAGGAGTGGAGGGTGGTCCAATACCAGTTGGGGTGCCACATGCAGTGCCTGGGCCACCTCCACCCTGGGTGGTGCCGCCTAAAACAGGATACTGACTACTATACACAAATTCTGCTGCATTTAATCCATTACCCATTGCAGGAAATGCAAAGTTTGGGGGCAAAGGAGAAGAAACAAAACCATTAGACAGGGCAGAACTGTGTGCTGGCATAAACCCTGGAAATTGTGGAAACATTGGTGCACTCATGACCACAGGGTACCCAGGAGGATTGTACTGTACACTGCTGTGTGGAACCCCAGAGCAAGAGTTGCCAGGAGGTACCTGAGCAGTTGGAGCCGAAGCCACACTAGGGACGGGAGTGTGGGCTCCAGGAGGGTGAGGGCCATCTGGATGGGAGGCTGCTGTGTGGGGAGACCCACCATTTCGCCCAAGATTATTTCCGGTCAAGGTGCTGGGAATCATGCTGCCTTCAGATGGTGAGCGCATACAACATTGAGGGTCTTGTTGTACTAATGGGACTGCTCCTGGAGCAGGTGGTGTGGTTTCACGACTTGTCTTGTCACTATTCAGGGGCACAGGATTTCTGGGTGCCACCACTGGTGTTTGAGTTTGCAAAGGTAAACTTGGGTACCTAATCATTCCTTGGTGGAAATTAACATAGCCAAGGTGATGGTAAGGCATAAGACGATGTCTTGTTAAGTTTGCCTGTGGAGGCAGCAGGATTGGATTCGGAGGGTGGTGTAAAGGGGGCGGAGTCCCCCCCTCACTAGCACCCGATCCCAACAAACCTAACGAGTCCCCATTTTCACATATATCCACTCCGTCCACTTGAGTTTTCCCTGAAAAGTGAAATATGTCATTAAATAACAACTATGGGAAATATATTTTTGCAGTACACTTATTATTTGAGATACGTATAACAATCAGAGCATTGGTGTTAACCCATTAAGCGTCAGTGCCGTTTTGAAATGGCGGAACAGCATTGTCACCACAGCGTCACGGCCGTTTGTAAACGCCGCTGTTTTTACGAATCTCTTACATTCAATAGCGACATCTTACAGCCTAAGTAAGTGAAGACAGGAATAGTGGCAACTGTCCCACATAGCTTAAGATGTCATATCAACTTGGGGTGGTGGTGGGGGACAGACACACTAGCAACTACACAACATATTCATTTCATATCTAACTTACAAATAAAATTTTATTATTTCAGTGATGTGAGGTAGTGCTCTAGGCACCTGGTAGGGTGTGAGGAACAGATTGCCTCCATGCCTTATCCCATATTTATCCCTCCCTAGCATGCCACACTATGTAGTAGCTTAGAGGTCCTAATAACTTTTATTCAAGTGTCTTTGCATTGCCATATATTTCCTTACAAAGAGCATGGTATTGTTTTCGTGGCGTGAGGGTGTTGACACATGTGTAAGGATAGAGGTGTTACCATTATAATATTTTTGGGTCAAGTATTTAGATAAATAATTGTTATATTTCCTTGAGAAGTCATATAAACCAATAGAAATAAATAAAATTTATGTAAGCAGGTAGAAAACAATAACATACAATTCAATTTATTGAAAGAAAAAATATAGCATTGTATATGTTCAGTCAAACTGGCTAGACGGTGAAGACGTATTTGTTGCTGTCGCATGTCAAGGCAAAATAAATTAGTAAAACCTTATAATTTGTATACAGTATTTATTACTTAGTTTTCCATGGGTTTGTGAGAAATTAGGAGAGAAATAAAATATTTATGAATGTAAAACAGAGAAAAATCATTTTACATTCCTATTTGGCTTGCTTGCCTGAGAGGCCCTGGGGAATTCTCCGAGATGCACGCAATTTTTGTTCCCTTGACAACAAAATACACCATTTATGCCTTTTTTATTTACCTGAAAAGACAGCTTTTGATAGAACTTGTGGACACTTAAGAGGTATTAAAAAAAGAAGGGGGTGGGGTGTGCTTCAAATATGATCTGCTTAAAGTCCTTATATGGTTCCCAGGAGGAATTTCTTCTAAACATCTATTTTCAGCAAACAAAGCACTATGTAGCAATTACAGAATTAAAATTTACATCAATCATAAGTGAAGAGAAAAAAAGTTAACAGTTAAGTTTGATAAATTTTATGACCTAGATTCAATTTATCTAATAAATAAGCCCTGCTTCACCTCAATGAACAATTGCAATTCTTTAATCAAAGTTCTAATTTTATTTTAATACAGTATTATCTCCGTTAGCCGGAATCCCTCAATCCTTGAACTCTCCGATAGCCAGAATTAAAATTTTCTCAGAAAATCGTTCCCAAAACCTGATTTTTTCGGAAATTCAGGCTTTGGGAACGATTTTCCAAGGGGCACATTTTCCGGAAAATTATGAGAAAATTTTCCGGACACCTGGAAAATTCCAGGGATGGTGGGAGTTATTTTCCGGGTTTGAGAGATGATGTAATGGGTAATTTCTGGAACTTCTGAGAACATTTTTCCGATACCCCGAAAATTCCGAGGATGAGGGATTTTTTCTGGCTTTGAGCGAGTCGTCTCGTTACCCGGAAACCTCTCATTCCCAGAAGTGCTCTGCACCAATTGTTACGACTAACGGATATATCACTTACTATGCAACGTATTACAGTAGAGATTTGTTTTCCATTTCAGGAATGAACTTAGTGAGTGTAAAAATTCTACAGGGTCATGGGACCAAAACTATCTGTCCACTTCAACCTCCAACTACTTGGCTTGGAATAAAATTGACATAAAAATTCATGCTATTTCATAGTTGAACTGTGTAAGCTGGTAAAGAATTACTCCCTTTATCACAGGATAACTTCTAAATGTTTACCTGAAAGCTATGGACAAATAAATATCCTGGAGGGGGAGGGAGGGAGTGAGTGAGTGAGAGAGAAACTGGCTGGCATTTTCCTACCTCTTTTATCTGTATGGTTGTCTCTTGTGTGATCAGGACTAGGTGTCTGAGGCGGAGATGAATACTGTGATGAGGAAGGTGATGAATCTGAAGACCGTGAACAATTCTTCATATGGCCGTGTCCTCTTGGGTTTCCTTTGTGAAAACCTCGTGTACTTCCACTACTACTGCTACAGCTGCTGCTACTGCTTCCTCCTCTGCTGCCATAACCAGAGTTTATAGTTGTTCCATGGTGATGTGGTGTGGCTTTTAAATGAGCCATGGGACCAATTGGTGGTATGTGTGGCAGAAAAAAGGACCGATGGGGATGCTGTGCAGCATATCCAGGTGGTACATAAGTGTGCGTACCTCCAGGTGCTCCTAATGGAGAATATAAGTATGCGGGAGGGAACTGACCTCCTGGAGGCACCATGGGTACCAACCCTCCATTCCCTGGTGGAGGAACACCTATGCTACCAGATGATGTGTAAACTGGCATGTTACCTGCTGAGGTGTATATAGGCATGGCAACACTACCTACAGGAGATGGTTGCGGCAGAGTCATTCCAACTGGAGCCGTGTAACCTGTCATGTTTAAGGGTGCTGAGGCTGGAACACCCATATTACTGCTACTCACACCAGGATTGCTTTTACCACCATGCCCATTGTTGCATGTGTAGTACACCTGAAAGAGATAATCCACACATTCATATAAACCCTGATTGAGTCTGTATTTAAAATAGGGATTCCAGAAAACCATTAAGATGCAAGGAATAGCTTCCCTATAATAATATTGCCAACCTCTTTTTTTTCCTTGGTAAATGTAAGATATATAATTTAAATATTGTTTGTGTATTGTGTTAGTTTGCCTCTCAAACAATTCTAATAAATTCTCTCTCTTCATTTTGAAAAGTAATCATCTGCCACAATCTATTTGATCCAGCAGCTTGCAGCTACTGTGTAGTTTTCACATTCCCCTTTTATATGGCCTTACTTCCCTGATAACACTGAAAGACTTCACAGGAAAAAATGGGCTGAAAGAGATTTGTTTTCCTAACCTGCTGAACTCCATTACTCATTGTGAGCCCAGTGCTTGTGCTTGGAGTGGGTGGCTCCCGTGATGGTGTACGTGGAGGGGGGCACAGTGGAGGCGGAGGAGTTCTATGTTGGCCTGGAGGCAGCTGCGTGGCTATGTGGTGCTGGCCAAGGATATTAGCAGAACCAGCAGATGGTGGTGGAGTCTTGTGGTGGATGGGTGGTGGAGGAGTGGTCATATAATGAGGAACAGGAGTAATAGGAGAAACAGAAGCAGGGACACTGCCGGAAGAAGTCGAGGTAGTAGAAGAAGAGATGCAAGTAGAATGGGCTCCCTGAATGCTAATGGAATTAGCTGGTGAAGTACCGACAACAATTGCAGAAGAAATACAAGGTGGCTGCTGCATTATCACTGGTGCCCCTTTTGGACTATGTGAATGTGTGATTGAGTGGCACTGAGTAACATGCGTTGTGGCAACAATGTTAGCAGTGGTCGTTGTTGTCAGTACAACACTCCTGGAAGTGGTCACCACTATAGCTGTGCTGGGAGATATAGTGTTAGCAGATTTATTATTATTAGAGGAGGGGGAAGAGGAAGAAGAAGAGGAGGAGGAGGTAGAAGAGGAGGAGGGGGATGAAGAAGAGGAGATTTTTAAAGAGGCAGGGGATCCTGATAAGGAAGAGGAAGAGAGGGAGGATGAGGAAATAGAGGTGGAAGTAGAGCTGGAGGTGGTGATGGTAGGTGTAGCTGCAGAAGTGGTTGATGACACAGTCTGGGTAGAACATGTGGTGGTAGTGGGAGAGTTACCAGTGATGCATGATGATTGAGGACAAGCTCCTTTATGGGATGATACTGGTGGTGTTGGAGAATTCAAAGAACCCTGGCTGGTTTTATTATTACTACAGGTATTTATTGTTTCTGACACAGTGTTTTGTAATGCATTTTGGGAAGATGTCTGAGTGTTACTAGTTGAGGTCTGACAATAAGAGTGTGTATTAAGTGTGTCGCTTGATGTGCTTGACAATGAATGGCTTGGCATTGTACTGTGTAAAGAATTATGTACTGTTGACTGTGAGTTAAGGGAGGTGTGAGCAGCAGTAGCTGCAACAGAATGATTATGAATGGAATTGTGAGATGGATTGTATGAGGTATGATGGGGGTGAGGTGTAGAACGAGGGTGCAAAGCAATGGATGAAGGATTAGTGAAGCCATTAGGGATGTGGGGGGCAGGAGACTCTATTCCAGCCAAAACTCGACGAAGCTTGGTGAGAGCACCCTTGGTCAGGCCCACCATATCTATAAGTTCTCGGTCACTCATTTTTTTTAACTGCAAGGTAAAAAGAAAACTCAATTAAACATAAATTTTAAGTGTGTAGTAGTCTCTCCGTTAGCTGGAATCTTTGATCTCTGGAACTATTCCAATGTGGATATTTCTTTTTTTGAGCACTCCGAGAAAAATCTCTCTATTACATGCATGGGAACGAATTTCCAAAAGGTGCCGGGCATGTGGGTGGGTAGGCCCAGAGGGCTCGTGAGCTACGATTGGCCACTATTGTCATGTGACTGCACATGATTGGTTGATGCATCTCACAGCCTATCTCCTCAAACACTTGCATTATGACACACTTAGTTCATTGTAAGCTGCCACTGTAGAAGCTCTTTTGCTCGCTTACTGCTGTTTTCGCATATGATCCTTGTTGTGCAGTATTGTACTGCACAGTACCGTTATAGCATTGTTAAAACAAAAAGTAATAAAAGTTACATATACTGTACACTTACTAAGTGTGAATGTACCAGGTGTACAGTATGTACATAGCAGAATGGACAGTGTATACTAAAGGGTGCATTTACAGTGTGCAGTGCATGCATAAACCCTCTGTCATGGACGGAGAGGAGAGTGACAGTTAGCAACAACTGCTATAGGAGATGGTACACGACAAAGGCAGGTCATCCTGTATCATCATATCACCATTTGGTCTGCCTGCATCACAAGCACAAGACCACAGCATCTGCTGGTGAGTAAAGTCTAGTGTAAACAGCACTTGAGTATATTTGTTTATTTACAATATATTGTACTTGTACAGAGGTGTTTGCATAAATAAATACAGCTCTGTTTCTGTCTGCACGAGATGCGGAGTTTAGATTCAAGGAAAACTTTCCCCAGTACCCGGAAAGATTCCGGTGATGTGCAATTTTTATCGGGGATAAGAAACTTTATCTCCATACTCAGAAATATCTTCATCCCATAACCGCTCATTATTCTGGCTAACGAGGAGAATACTGTACTGTATATATAAACATTCCTACCCTTGTGCAAGTCAGAGAAGCTACAACTTAGCACACAACTGAACTTTCTTTACAAGTAAAATTTAAAATTGCGCACTTCAATTGCCATTACACAAAATGATAAGGATTTATCTTTATAATTCAAGCAGACAACTTCATGCATTTAGTGTAAAGTATTACCATTAACATTTTACTTAAATATATACTGTACAACTACATTTACTATTGAGTCAGAAGTATATACACTCACAATAGCACCAGGAAGTGGCTTGAACCCTTCAAAACAATGTGCTACAGGAGAATGCTATGAATCAATTATTCTGACAGAAAATAATGAAGAAGTACTTACATTACACTGAACAATATAAGAAATACTAACAATTCATATAATAACAAAATAAGGTATTTGGGCTATACAATTGGGGATCGGGATAAGGATAAATGTTAGTGATAAAATTAAAGGTAGGATGATCAAGGGAAGGTGGAATCTGGCACATATGAATGAAACTAATAGTTGGGTCCTCTAAAAAATACAAACTCTGGGAGGATTGGGAAAGACAGCCCCCAAACATATGTGGAGTGAAGGGCTGTGGCTACCCACCCTCAGATATACAGCTAACACCTTCATTGATTGATTGACTACCAATGAATACTTTCAGTTAACACATGCATTGATACAATTTAATTTACATCTTGTAAGAATGACAAGGAATCTTCATTAGGCCCACCCGAATGTGACTCAGTCTGTGCAGAGTGTGTGGGGAGGCATAGGTGGCACTTGTGATTACCTCCCCTAACTACCACTCCTCCCTATGATCTGGTGTCAATGGCAATAGCCCTTGTTACCTGAAGTCATAACTCCTGTCACCACACATCTACAGCCTTTCAGCTTGGTGATTCCTTTGAAATGTTGACAACTTGACACTGACTGACCAGAGGCTGTTTGGCAACTTAATGTAGAGAAAAAATTACCTGCTCCTGGCACACTGAAGGACAAGCAACCCAATGACTGACCTGCCTGGTTAAACATGTACAATGAGATGGGGTCACAGCACCTGACAAGTCTCTGTCCAGGTGTTGTATTTTCCTCTCAAAGCAATAGCATGTCTGACAGGCAAGTGCCGGGCACATATCGTATACGTCAGCGTATAAGACGGAATTTGAACCTTAAAAGAATCAGCCCAAAATTAGGGGTTGTCTTAAACATCGGGTATAAAATCCGAACCTCTACATCCTACCGATCGTCTCGCGAAGCAAGTTTTTAAATTAAAGAAAATACCTGCAGTGTATTTAATGCAAACTTTTCTAATATTTTACAGTACTATATTATACATAAATAAATAAACAAATAAATCAGTAAATCCATTTCAAGTAAATGGTAAAATTTTACTCGACACCGACATTAGTTCCGGTAAAATAACAGACGCCTAAGTGACGTCACTAGTGTTTACACTACACCAGCTGGTAACGTTTGATGCCATAACTTGAAGTGAATTGGCCTTATTTTAAATAATCAAGGATGCGTTGCTTAGCAGTGTGTTTAACAGCATCACTCCACTGGTCATTGGGATGGTTGGTAAAGGACTACTGGGGCAGTAAGCTCCCAGAGGTAAGTGTCAGATTTGTGGTAGTCTTATACAGAAAGTATAGCTCAAAACCTACGTTTTAAATGGAAATTTTGGGAGTCGTCTTATACACCCCGTAGCCTTGTACGCCGATATATACAGTAGACATGAAAATCATTTGCCCGGCCTCTAATCCAGACATTGCGCATCTGCACAGACTGATGTGACTACAACATTTGGTGAAGACCGACTCCACATTTTTTATTCCCCGATACAAAAAGGTGTACAGTATTCCTGCAGCAATGGATTAACAGATAACACAATAACAGCCTTACAAGTCACATGACAGCTGAATGAACCAAAGAAACCTCAACTATTTACGTCATGGTGTCACCCCTCTATCCCCTGCGACCCTAGCTCAACTTGAGCAGCCAAACATTCGTAAAGGCTGTACTCAACCCCAAATTTCATTCCCACCTTCAACCAGAGGAAGTGACTCCCAACTATGGAGGTAAATGCAACCCCATGGCATGCTCAGCATCCAAAATTAAAAGAAATAGGAAATATATGGCTCTCTACATGTCACAAACATGAGAAGTCCGTAAGTAATTCTGTCTGATAGTTTCTGCTTTAAAACTTAAGTACAAATAGTATAAGGAATTCAAAAGAAGTAGGGTGAAATCATAACAGCAATAAGTTTAAGAAAACAGTAAATCAAAATATTAAGAGAAATTCAAAGGAGCAAGAGCATATCAAAACACCAAGTGGCCTGGCAGTGTTACGCAAGCACACGGAGAAGAATATAATTCTCCCATTAAGATCAGTCAGCCAATATGGAAAATATTTGTAAGGCTGGCTAATAACCAAAAAATTAAGAAATATGGTTTTCAAACACAAAGCTGTAAAATTATCAAGTCTTGTAAATATTTTTAACTACCATACATACCTTTACAGTTGGAGCCAGTGATTTTCGGATGAATTAGCATGAAAAAGGAACTTTAATACGTAAAATCTCACATATTTCTATAAGTCTGGTCTATTGACCACATGAGCACACCACCCACGACTCACCGTATCAATAGGATAATCCGCAAGCTGCTGATAATATTTGTTCAATCTTTCATTTTTCACAAATTCCAGGTTGAGGCAATTGTTATTGTTCACAGCAGGCTTCTCCAAAGTGGGCTGGTTTGTGGAAATGGAACCTCCTGTGGACGATGGTGGTCTGATCCCTGAATTGCTACTAACATGGACGCTCTTCTCTTGATTCCCTCCCTGGACGACTAATGGAGATGTGTTTCTAGTAGTTTGGGTGGCACTTAAAGATATGGGGGTGGAGGACGATGATCCACTAACCACGTGGCTACTGATACTGGTAGTTTTACATGCGGAAGAACTTGCAGTGACAGTTGCCGTCACTCCAATTCTACAGGTAGTGGTTGTGCCTGACATCGGGCTGGGACTCTGACTGTTTTGTCTGGTGACATTTTTGATGCTACCTGTAGGAGCTGCACAGCTGGATGAAGAAGAAGTAGATGAAGCAATTGCTGGACAATTTCCAGGCCATCGAGAACTCTTTGTGTGATTAGTAGTGTTGGAAAAAGAGAGAGAAGTTTGGATCACACCACGAGCTCCTGATGGACTGTTGTGATTCCCAACAGTTGCTTCAACATCACCTGCTGAACCTCCCGGTAATCTAGTCCGTGATCCTGACCGGTCTGATTGTCTCTGGGACCGACCGCCAGAAGATGGTGGTTTCCCCCGATGGGTCTGTCCTGATGAAGTGGTCCCAGGGTGTGTACTAGTATGACTGATACCAGCTTGAGTAGTTGCTGTAACAGTCTGAGTAGTAACAGAATGCTTATGGGCAAGTTGAGGGCTTGAATGAGTTGATATGACACAGGCAGATGCTGTTGTGGTTGAGGATGTAATGGTGAGTGGAAGATTAGCTGCTGTTGTGGTGGTTGTGGTTGTAGTAGTTGTGGTAGGTCGAGATAATGGAGATGAGGCACGACTAGGACTAAGTGACTGTAGAGGGGAGACATAAGGGGAGGACTGTGGGGAGCTTAGAGGAGAATTGGAAGCTGGTGGTCCATTATGAGTAGCTAAACCACCTCCTTCCTCACTGCTTGAGCCCTCAGAATTTGATCTTTTCCCACTTGGCACACAGCCAGGCACAGTTCCCACCATCTGAGGGTATTGGTAGTAGTGGAAGTTACCAGGGTGATTACATGGGTAGCTTGGTGCCATTGTCAGTGCAACTGCTGAGGAAATGATATAAAACATCTTTTAGTGTGAATTAGTATAATATTTTCATCAAAGAAAAATACAATCCACCTGACCACAATAATATTTCTAATAAATGATAACTACCAGAAAGGTGAGTTTCTACTAACAAAAACTGACATTCCCTAACGAAGAAAGAAAAAATAAGGAGTCAAAGATATCCAAAACAATTCATTGAATGAAATGGTCAATTGTTTAACTACACATCTTCAAGTGTCTAACAATTTATATAACAAGAAAAATCCTGCACCAAATTTCACTTTATGCATCAATTAAACATAATGTAAGTCACTTCAATTAGGGATCACAAAAATAAATCAATGGAGGGATCTCCTTACTCACAGAAGGCCAGGTTATTCTGAAACAAAAGTTGAATTTCTGGACACTTCAGTGCATGTTTATCAGAGCTGGCTAAACCAAAATGGATTGAGCAACAAAGTGTATCAGAACCATGACATCTGTATGGCTGGCATTCCTTAATTTGGGACTTTGTTTCGGCACCACAATTACCATTTAGTTTCACAAAAATTTTTATATCAATAATGAAGGCTAATCCAGAAAAAAGTAAGACTCACCTAGACCTTGCTGATCAAATATGCTGGAGTTATAGATATATGTTGTAGACACGGTTCCACTCTCATTGTACAATTCACTAGATTCACCACTACCACTGCTACAAGCATCCTAAAGAAAGAAAATATCAGATTGCATTTTTTAAATGTAAAAGACAGCATGCACTGAACTTGGAGAGCAATGGTTGATACTGTTGAAGAATACTTAAAACAAGTGAAATAAATCAACCTAACTTAACCAGGTTAACTAAAATATTTTAACTATCTTTTCTTTCAAAAAGTGCACACTGAGATGTTGAAATGGGGATAGGCCTAACAGATATGAGAAATCTTGGTGACTGGAACACCCTTTCTTCTATAACATAGGCAACACTATGAAAAACAAGGCATCACAACTAGGGTCTACTAATGGTGATATATTGCATTTGTTTTAAATTTCTCCCAGACTTCTCTCTTCAAACAATTCATATTGTTAACTCACCCCCATCATCCTCTTTCACCACTAAAACTTTTATTTCCAACCCACAAGAAGCAACTGAAAGGAAGCAACCTGGTTCAAAGAATCAAAAGGAAAACTAGGATAAATTTTTACAAGACTAAACAAATGCATTACATTTTTGTAATCAGAGTGACTGCAGTTTTTCTTTGCCTTAACATGCCTAATGGCAGCCAGGTCACCAGAGCTGTGCCCATCCCCTGGTCTCTGCTGCATTTTCATATTGGCACATTGGTTAAGTGGTAGTGATGGGGGTGGATCCCATCCTGGTTTTATCCAAGTGCTTTTACCAGGTAATCGTGAATGATGATGTCACCATTAATTTAAAATATCAAAATCTCTATTCCATTCTTGTTACCACCACCTGAACCAACTAGGTGTGAACGTGTACAATGCTTCACTAACATTTACAGGAGGTCTTGTATAGTCAATAACATTAAGTTAGGAACCCCTGTAAGAATTTGTAGAATTCAAAACAATCATTTAAGTTTTAACACTAAGTATTGGTGTTCAAAAGAAAGTTATACCTCTTTTCACTTTTATAATGACACCTAAAACTACTTCACCATGTTGTCAACCTCATTGATTCTCCACGCTCTAATTTTTTTTCCACCTTAACTTTAAGCCTCATCAGTCAACACACTATTCACTAAATTTTATGTACCCCCTCCATCATTTAACTGCTTTCACTAAACTTTATATAGCTTTTCTCTCAACATAATTTTTGCCATTTCCTTGCTTCATGATTTCATACATTGTACTCTTGTCACCATTTCTCTCAATTAACACAATCCTGAACAGACACAAGCTAAAATATTGTGATATGTCTGAGCCCAAAGGTGTGTGAGAATAGATATTGCTAGCTGATGAATATGGCTGTGAAGTTTATAATTAAGAAATATGTGTCCATGGTAATATAATCCTTGGCTTCACTTGGGACCAGAAATTATGAGAGAACAGCTCTGGGACCTTTCACATAAGACAGGGTGGCAAGTGTAAAAATGGCAATGACAAGGGTGGCAGTCAGAATCACTTAAGACAACCACTAAAATTAAGTGGTACACTATACTCTTGCTAATTTGATATATACTGTATTCACAATTTGATATTTCAGGATAAGTCTATATTTTTTGTTGAGGTAGATTTAGTGAGATTTTGTGATTTAAAAAAAAAAAAAAAAAAAAGTTGGTTCGCAGATCTAGAAATAAACCAGGTGATTTCATATACATGATGGGAGATACATTCCTAGGAGGGGGGAGGTCTTCCACAACCCAAGTGACTTCCTTTACATATTGAGAGACAGATAAAGAGGTAAAGGGATGATTCCAATCATCTATATTCTTCAGATGTTTAAGGTTCAAGTGAAAAATATTACAAAAACTTAACTGGTGCAAACAAAATGAATTACTTTTTAGTGGGTATACACCAAACATGGAATGTATGCCCATGAATCTTGAATTTGATTGAAAAGTTATATTAATATCTTTACTATCAAAAATATAAAAAATTTAATGCAAATAGAATTAATAAAATAAACTGAACATTATTTCTATTACAGGTAATGTGTGTGTATTACACAAACATTTCATATACTGTACTTATTCATGTATTCCTGGGTACAGTACCTATAGTGTTTGGGTTTTCTCTTGTTTGGCATTCCAATAACAAACATCAAAATGCATCATGTAAAAATAAAAAAATCTTTCAAGTTGACAGGCAAGTTGTAAAAAATCCAGAATTGTGGAGTAATTTTGAAATGCTTGGATAATTTGATCGACCCAGAGCCCCAACGATATCGAATTAGTAAGGATTCAGTGTACCGGCACATAGGAAAAATGCAAATACTTGATTGCCAGTGAGGTTGCTCTGTCCCAAATGAAGAGAAGTTGGTGTGTGAGAACACAATAATTACATGAGCAATGGCATGAACTACAAACCTGACTTCCTCCACTGTCTCCTGTTGTCTGAGACACACCATGGCCACCAGTACCTAAAAGCATCACAAAATGAGTAAAATATTAAGCCTTAGCTGTTGGTTGTTAAATGCTGCAACAAAAAATTATTTAACTTTTAGATTTCAGAGAGATTGAGTTAGGGTTTATGAGGAGAGTAACCCAAAAACTCAGGAAAATAATCAAAACATTTTGAAAAATTTCCATGTAATGGTGTTGACTAACCATAACATATTAAGAGTTTCACGGTGATATTCACCATATTTATCTACTTACTGTATTCATGGTTCTCCCCCCCACCTCCTATGCAAGTGCCGCTCCACTTACTATTAGTCGCTGAAATGTATTCATCAAGATTAGTTGGGTAAAAGTCATCAAAAGTTGTTTAGAAATCACTTGTTGGTATCTTTCACTCTTCTCTCGGGTAATAGTGAGGCCTTGCCTGTTATGGTTAACTAGTCAGACTGTCATTGGATTGCAAGTCCTTTTCGAGAGAGGGGGATGTGCTGTGGATTTAGCCGCACTCACCCATATCTCAAAACAAAATTTCCTCAACTTCTCCCTAAGCTGTGGACTGATTTTCAAACTTTTGGTATCTATAGGTAAGTCAGAGAAAATAGATAATTTTGTTTGATGTACCTGTAGGTTATCTTTGCAACATGGTTAAAGTTTCATGAAATTGTTAAGAAATACTTCCTGTAGATACAAGTAGTCTTTATTTATTTTTTCTTAACATCCAAATGACTTCATATTTGAGTACGATCAACATTATATAGGCCTACATAACCCCCCTACTATCCCTGCAAGTAAGAATCAGGGTTCCTCTATATTGGAACATAATAATTTTAAAATAAATGGACAGGGTTTACGCTAGTGTTCATGACCATTATAAAACTATAAAAACCTGGCTGAAGACAGATGAGGATTTGGGGTGATTATTAGCTACAGTGAGGAGGGAATGACAGAGATTAACCCCTTTTGTACGGTGCCACCTCTGAGCTTAATAAAATCTGCTGCTGTTAGCCAATTGAAATATTAAAAGTGACGTCCGCATAGTGAAAGGTTTAAAGGATTGCGACACTAGAATTAAACTTAAAAGCCGGGTCCAATAGGAAATGTAAAATCTGAGAGAAATGTTAAATTAAATACAGCTTGAAAATGTTTGGAGTGAAGGGTCATGGATGCCAACTATCAGACATGAAGATGACACCTTGACCAATTGAAACACTGGTAACAAAACTATCATCATCCTGACTCACTCTCTCAGCATATATATATATATATATATATATATATATATATATATATATATATATATATATATATATATATATATATATATATATATATATATATATATATATATATATATATATATATATATATATATATATATATATATATATATATATATATATATCTTAAGGCTCACTGATGTCGTGATAGAATCCATGTGCAATGAAAGCTACTCTGTACCTCATTATTGGAATTTTTACTCTAATTGCACTACCTTTTGAAGTACCAGAAAGATGTGTGATATTGGACTCTATTCAGGTATCATAAAAACAAATTAAGACAGATACAAGTTATTTCACTCATGCTTGTATCATGTATGTGTTTAGAAAAACGAGAATGTCTGTCAAGTTCAAGCAGAACCAGAATATAAGTAGGTGTGTCTGGTTGCTGGGGATTTTATGTTCGAGTCAATGAATAAGAATTTACCTGAATGGAAGGACTGATATTTCTCAAGTTAAAAAAATATTATCAGGACAGTTTAAATCAATGACAGTGAATGGCTCAAAGTTAATTTCATCCAAGTCATCTGCAGAAAATTTATAACTGATATACAGTAACTGAGAGCAAACAAATTTCAAATTTACTGTCACTACTATTAAGAACAAGCTAACAAATGACAAACTGCTAGAATAAAAAATGTATGAACAGTCTTAAATTACTTTATACAATCTTGGAGAGACTACTTGTGCACATATATTTTGTGCTAAAGCATTAGGGAAGGCTAGGGTAGTGAGTGTGGTGGTTACATACCTGGGTGGTCAACACCACACACAGTGAAGTGCTGGGCATCAGTAAAGGTAGACAAGTGATTGAATAGACATGCATTGTTTGATGAAGAGCTAACAGCAACAAAACAGTAAAAAGCAGAGAACACTTATCCCTCTAAAATGTTCCATAGGTAGGACCACTGAGTTGATGAGATTACCACCATACCTGTTAGGTGTAGATGTACTGAAATTTTATATTTTACTTGTTATATGATTACAGTAGTCACAATAATGTCTGTTAGATACTGAACTAAGCCATGAAAGTGGACACAACAAGGTAGAGAGGCAGGTAGAGCCAAGTGACAGCAGGAATAGCCAGCAGTGAAATTATTTTCCTTACAAATACTGTAATTATGCATCTACATCCAAACTTTTGGTATATTAAAACAAATCCATGAAAAGAAGATATGTGTTTCAATTATTTATAAACACCAAACATGATGAGTTGTATCAAGTGCCATAAATATTTGAAAAGCAGAGTAAATGGCATCATTAGCCATGGAGAGGGATTAGTGAGACAAATGGCAATCACTCAGTAATATTTTCTTATGCCATTAAACTCAACTTTTTGTCACTGTATAGATGCATTAATATTACTAGTTGACAGTATTAAGTAACAGCAATATTTGAAAGGAATGTCTGGTACAATTTTGCTGGTAGTCTTATCATGTCTTTGAGGCCAAATTTTCCCTGTTGTATAAATTTAAACTGGTTTTTAAACATAATTTTGGGGGGTGTAAAACTTTATAGGAATGCAATTATTTAATAAAATAAGGGAAACCTGTATATAATATCAAAACAACCTCTCAAGTTTTACGACTCTCTGAGTAGGTAGTTTGACATACAACAAACTGCCTTTTAATAATATGGAAAACCCCAGTAGCAACAGAACTGTACCTGATGGTAAACTGTGGGAATGGTGATGGTAATGGTGGTGAAGCTGCGAGCCAGGGGTAGGCAGGAGTCCACAGCCGTCTAAGAGAGCATCTCCCTCTGGTTCTGTGCCCACACTCAAACCACTGTCACAGCCCTGCAAAAACACAAATTATTAAAAAATCATTTCAAAAGTACAGTACAGTACAAGAAAAAGCATCACATTTTCATTAGCTTCAGCTGAAACAGTATTATACCGGGGTAACTCTTAAACATAACTTTGCCAGGCAATTCACTGTTATACGCTATATGCAACTTTGATTTTTTTCCTATATCTCTTCTCCAATCCTCTACAATTACCTTATTTTATTGCCACTTTGACTCACGTCCAAAATTGAATTTTTATGTGCAATTAAAGTGAATTTAAGGTACAATGTAGGCATTTGTTTACTCTATAACCATAAATTAATTTTCTAGACCATGTCCTGATTCGCTATAATAAAATGCCAAACAAACATTAAGATGGAAAATCATAACATTACAGTTTGTTTGTACCCATCTTACCTAGGTTAAGAGTGCAGTGCAAATGCTTTTAGCTAAATATCATAATTCAAAACAAATATTGTACTCTAAATACTTGATGTTGAGAGACCTGTATTTGGTAAAGATAAGGGAAAGGTTGTCCATTTCTCAGAATTTTTTGATTACCAATTACCTTTACTGGCATCTTTGTTTTAATGCAGAGACTGCAACTCTAGTGGGAGAACAAAGAAAGAAAAGAAAGAATGTAAACTTATGAAAATGAAGTTTTAAATGTTGCATGAAGTATGAGTCCTGTCAACAAACCTTCTGAGAAGATTACTGATACTGTATTGTACTGCAGTTAACCATTCATGTAAAGAGACCACATGGATCAACCAAAACACATATAAGTTATAATTTGGTTACTTCATGTTGTCTACTATCACTTTAACAAATCTGATTACTGTATTTAGTTGGCAGTCACCTAAGTACTGTACTGTAGCTATAGCATAATACTGCATCTAAAGTATGAACTCTTATCTTATACATTGAGTACTGTACCAGTATTCAGTAAAGGCTCACTATATTGGTATGTTCATGTTTATTGTGCACTCTTACTAATACAGTACACTTATAACATTATATAGCTGTACTGTACTTTATACCAAACACATTCCAAAATATCATTTGATAATGTACAGTATTCCATTACGATAATACTCTGGAACACAGACTCGCATTCACCAGAAATTTTACCCAAAATTTAAATAGAATAAAACTTCTTTCTTACCTCATGAATATCCTAAAGCAATTGCAGAAATTAAAATTTTCCATGATATGTACATGACTATTATTATTAAGGCAATTTCTTAAATCTAGAAAAAAAATCACAGTTGATGTGCCACATCTCAGCGATGCCATATTGAATGTTTCATGGCAGCACCAAAAGACTAATATTTCATAGACATTGATGCTTCCATCCAATGTACAGTATAGACAAAGATACGTTCTTTTGGGAACATTCTAGAACAGAAAATGCAGGTACAGTAACTTTTTTCTTACCTGAGCATTAAATCAAGTCAGATGGAGGAATTATACTTCTTGTACACCTGTATTTTGTTTTTTCCCAAGTTTCACCAATAAATAAAGAAACTCTGTGCCCATTCACCTGACGACAACATTTTGTTTGTACTTGAAGTGTTTCTAAACACTTTCCAGCAACCTTATCACACAGGCTGAAATATTAACACCCTAATATAACCTGCCTAACCTACCTACCATAGCTACCTAACCTAATATAGTAATCGTTTGGAACACTGACTAGTGAGAAGAAGAAAGTTTTGGAAAGTTCTATAGAAAACACCCTTTTCATATGATCATAGGTTTATGACAATTTTCCATTCAGGTAACGGTTAAAATTCGTTTTGTGTCCAACTGGAAATTCTATTAATAAAATAGCATAGCATAGCATATTTAATGATATGCCCCCTTTAAACTAGCAACGACAATGATTCCTTCCAAAGTGGGCAGGGCTTTGAAGATAAGGGAAAATGTGGAGGGAAAAAAAAAAAATCTGAGAACACAACCTAGCCTATATTATACTGAATACACCGCAACTTATTTTGGTAATGGTGGAGGAGACGGTTAGCAGTAGAAAATAATTATGTAATTATACCAAAATTTCTGGAGATGTTATTTGCATGATACTGTACTAAACTCGAAAATGGAAACGACAATGCAGAGAAGCTAACAAACTGACCTAACCATCCTAACCTTACCCAACTTCCTCAGACCTCATGGCATATTAAGCAGAAAGAACTTACTTTAATATCTGGTACCAACGAAAGCAACTTTCTTGAAGCGGCATTGTGTAATTTTAGGTTTTTTGTGGACGTAAGAATATGATCGTTTGTTGCACTGAAACACATTTCTTCTTCACTGTCAGTTCTCTGCCACATTTTGAACACTTGCACGTCCTGCCAACTAGTCCATGTTGACAGATGAACTCTTGGAGACGGTCTTCATCCTCTACAAGCACAGATAACTTGCGATAAGACAAAGAACAGCCCGCACAGGACGCCATTACTAGTACGCAGTTAAAATACAAGATGGCTATAGTTTGCCTCTGAGTGTCTCCCCTTGGAGAAGAACAATAAGTGCAGTGTACGAACATACAGTTCACTTAGAATCCAATGCTACTTTTTAAGAAATTGTATATGTACAGTATCCAAACTACAGCATATGAATCTCATCCTTTATACATGGAGTAGGTTCTAGAACCATCTGTGTGAAAAGGGGAAAAAAGGCTTTACGCAGGCAATAAACACGAAAACCAGGAAAGAGAAACCTATAACATTGAAAACAAAAGACAAGCAAGCCAATATTTATGGTAATAAAAGCCCCGACGAGAGCCTCCGTTGTTACATTTAATGTTCTCAAAGACTAAAATCATAAATTTATAGTTTACGATGAGACGCATACACTCGAAGCCATGGAAGAAACATCGGCTGACTATTTACGGGTGATTTACACTTTTTGATAGAGAAAACGAAAATATTATTAAAATCATTGGAAAAGTTGTCATATATTTTTATTACTTCCTAATATCATCCAAACAACAAATATAGAAAATATTATAAAATTCTATAATGCCCTTCGGGTGCTAACCGTCTACTCCACTATTACCCTATTTAAGAAAATTCGTACCTCATTTATCTGATGGATGTGCATCACCGTGAATTATGTTATGCATTTAGTGGGCGTAATCTGAACAGGACCAAGATACAACAATTTTGATAGGTTTTAAGTTCGTTAAACACATTTTCACGGAACACTATATTGTATTAGATCTCTTTCACGTGAAATTCACATGATCTACTTAGACCAATCAGAGGACAGTTCAGTTAATATTTCGTTGTGACCATACACAGAACTTTATATACATTCTTATAAAGGGAGATAGAGAAAAAAAATACCAGTACTTTCCTCTATAGCATTTTTGCTGGGGAAAAAAAAAAAAAAAAAAATATATACATATATATATATATATATATGTGTGTGTGTGTGTATTTTATATATTTTTTTTCATTTAAAAACCGGCACTTTTGATCACACAAAGTGGACAGGGCTTTGAAGTAGAGAGAAATTATGTGGTAAGAACAAGCAAGAAAGTGACAAAACCAAACCTAATGACTCAAGTATCAGAATATATATCCAACCTAACCTAAACCAGAGAAACATGGACATGAATTAACCTACTGTAAGTACCCCAGTTGTTCCCACTATAGCCATAGTTCACTAACTGTTTAATTATTCCACCAAACACTGATGCAGTGGAAGCCACAGCCTACCTCGTGTCTCAAGTAATGCAGGTTATGTAAGTAATGGTAAAAGCAAACTGCATCTTCATCCCTGTGTATAGGTCCCCGACTCCCCTCTGAGCTGAATAAAATCTTCTGACATCAGCCAAATAAAATATTAACACAGAGTATAGTACAGCAGCCGTATGCAAAAGGTTGATGTCTATTGGGCAGGTTATACAATGATAGTTACTAAGACGGCTTTCTTTCTGATTAACCTAACCATAACACAGTCCATTAATACGGCTGCTGCACAGTACGTATTATATTAAATGTAGAATCTCTATAATAAAGGGGTGAAAATGGGCTCTAGAACGTGAGGGGGACATTCTGGTGCATTCCAATATAGTACGTTAATTAATAAACAAGTGCAACCAAACTTGATCTCTGACCATGTTTCCTCATAACAGGTTAGTAACCCACTTGAAGTGACTTGAAGACTATGGCTAAGCAAACATTAATTAGCATGGCCTGATTATCCAATTAAAGAGTTCTGAAGACTAAGAAGTTTACCTCAGCAACAGGACTACAAGTCTGAGAGAGAGCATCCATGAGCTCGGTTTCTGAGCTCCGCTGCTGGCACAGTTGGGTCTCTGCTCTGCAAGTCCTGGAGTGAAGGTCTGCTATGACTCTCTTCTGCTCAAACGTAAAGGCTGGGTGATGCAGGACCATGGTGTATATCAGCAGCATCTCCTTGATATAGTTGACATCAGTGGGTAGGGGCGTTTGTTGAGCCTCGGCCAGGATCTGGTACAGTAGAGTGGAACACGTATGATTCCTGGAGCTTAGCAAGGCAACATACACTATCACATTGCTACGCGTCCTTTCGTCTAACAAATTGGATAACCGGGTTATTTCCTGTATGTTGTTGGCCTTGTATTCTGCTTCCCTGAGGTCATAGAAATCCCTCTTGCCGAGGTCTTCTACACATGTGCTAATAAACCTTAGCTCCATTGGTAAACACATGTTTAGCAGGCCACACAGCAACTCGAGGCGGCGGTGTGGCTCATTGTCCTTAAACCACAAACACACCTCATCCTTACACACCATTATGGCAAGAAACTCACTCCGCGTGTCTCACTTTGCTGTCTGGCACGCCTCACACTCCAGCAATCTTACGAAAATTTCCACAGTGACAAACTTCATCTTAATATATAAGTCGCCATTTGCACCCAAATGAAAATGTTCCAACAATGCTGATTGGTGGCAGTCCTAATTATGCTACACTCTTCTAAAAAAACGGAAGTGGCATATCTCTTACTTCACTAATAGATGTAATGTCACTTTTGGTTATTGCCTCAGCGATTTATAAAAATAAACTGATCTTTGAAATTTCAATTGTTAACGAAATATGAGTTAAATAAAATAGAAGATTTGAGGAGCACACTACAGGGGCACCAACCCTTCCGACCCAGACGGTGGCCACTACACATCGTTCACCAGGCACGCCTACTGCACTCACTAACCCTTATATCTGGCATCTCTTGGGCTTAAAACGCTCTAGGGCTGTACCAAAGTTTGAGTTTTAATTATTAATGACATAAACATAATTATAAATAGCAGTATATTGATGATTAGTCACTTGGAAGACATTCTTGTAAAACGAAAATTTAAGAAAACTTTGACGGGTTAAATGTTATGTTTGCCAGCCTGAGTGATGTAAACATGGCCACCACAACACTCAAGACGGTGAGCCATTTAAAACACTTTAAACATTATGACATAACTGCCTCACGAGTCCTTCAGAAAACACATATATTACGGGCTGGAAGGCTGTATGGTACGAGTGAGGCAAGAAAACCCATAACTACTACTCACTACTGTCTGGATATTGTCAAGTGAGTGACCCTAACAAACAACAATTGTATATATCAGCTTTGTTTACATGTACGAGGTAATGTTTTTTATAACTCCATGTCTTTATTAAGGAATGTTATTTATTAGATTTAAATGAAAAACTGGGAACAAGCTTGGGTAATCCAATTCTCAACACGATTAGCACTTTTAATCTAGGAGGTAATTACTTATGTTACCAGGACTTGGGGATATCAATATATTGTTCTCTTGGTGGATTTTAATATGAATAAATTGTCAGTAATTTCCGAAAATAGCACTACCACTATATGGAGTTGTTCGATTTCGTAGTAGGTAATATGCAGCTACCAAACAGGGAGGTACTACCACCTGGGAAGATATTTGAAGTATAATGTGTTGTCTAATGGTAGACCCTGCTGCCATATGGCATCAAAAAAATTGTGACCAAGTCCCAGGTTGCTGATCCGACTTTCTGCCTCATTTACACACAATTTCAGGGTTTCAGTTGTTTCTCCTACTTTGACAACACATCATGCATCTATCGTGTCTCACTGTTAATTTTTTTTGTATTTATGGCCCTTTGTTATTATTATTATTATTATTATAATTATTATATTGTATTATTTAATATTTTTTCTAATTATTATTAATATTATTATGTATTATCTAATATTTTTTTCTAATTATTATTATTATTATTATTATTATTATTATTATTATATTGTATTATTTAATATTCTTTTCTAATTATTATTATTTCGCCCCCTTGATGTGGGTCATTGACCTGTGCCCTGGTGGGCTAATCCCCAAAAAAAGGCATCACAAAAATTGTGACCAAGTCCCAGGTTGCTGATTTGACTTTCTGCCTCATTTACACACATTTTCAGGGTTTCAGTTGCTTCTCTTACTTTGACAACACCACATTCATATATCGTTTCTCACCATTGATCTTTTTTTAATTGATATATTTATTTATTTAATGCCTTTAATATTATTAATGATATTATACAGTGGTCCCTCGGTTAACGAGCACAATTCGTTCCAGAAGGTTGCTTGTTAACCGGGGCGTGAAGAATCTTGTAGAAGGTAATTCGTTAACTGAAATTTCGTTAACCGAGGCGCTCGTTAACCAAGGGATCACTATACTGTATAATAATTGTTTCTAATTATTATTATTATTATTATTATTATTATTATTATTATTATTATTATTATTATTATTATTATCATCATCATTATCATTATTATTATTATTATCATTATTATTATTATAATATTTTCGCCCTGATGTGGGTCATTGACCTGTGCCCTGGTGGGCTACTCCCATAAAAAAAATATTTTGGTAATATCTAAGAACAGCTCTACCACCAGAAGTTGTTTATTGTGTTCTAGTACATAAGAACATTCAGCAAATTTGGTTTAGGTTAGGTTGAAATTATGTTTCTCCGTTTTTTTTCTTCTGTATTTTCAAGGATTCTGACCTTCGAAAAATAGGTACAGTACATGACCGAATGATATTTTTGCAAAAATTTTTCACAGATGACTACACTGCCAACATGTTATTTGTTTTAATGTTTATATTATATTTTCATCGTTGAGTTTTGTTAAGTTAAACTTTTAAATAAACACTTTAAACACATTTGCCATAACTATGAAAGTGTCAACTATAATGCACAGTGAAATTGCATCATTTTTAAATTAATATTCTGTGAAAAATCAGCAGCTGTGTAGTTGTCTATAATTACCAGTAAGTATTTTAATGGAGGTGAAAACTTTTTATTTTAATTGTAAGTTTTGGTAATTATTGACCACTGACCCACCACAAATTCACTATGTTTTATAGGGGACAATGTCGTAGTTTGTGCAAATGTGTTAAAAAGTGGTTATTTAAAATATTTTAGTGGATATTTTGCCGTGACCGGCTAAGTTCCTACTAATGCTACTTTGCTGTAAGTGCACTCTGATTGGCTAAGCCCCCGGCTAGGAAGTTAAGGTAAGGTTAGGACTCTTTGGTTGGTTAGGTTTGTGCATTGTCATATCATTTTTATTACTATCATCCAAAGAACATGTGGAAAAAAATGAACAAAATCACACAACTCCTTCTGGTGGTAGTGCTGTTATCAGACATTACCAAATTTTCTTCTATGGTATTTTGGTAATTATTTTGTATTACTGCCTACTTGATTTTGACATAAAAACATATTATTCTGGAGTATTTTGGTGTTTCCAGTAATTTCTGATAATGGCACTACCACCAGGAGTTGTTCAATTTCATTCATTTTGTCCACAGATGTTTTTATCATTATAGTAAGAATTTTAAAAAGAGGCAACATTTACAAGAATCTAGGACCTAACCAACCAAGGAAATCTACCTAACCTAAACTCACTTCTGCCGGATCCCCTGCCATAAAGTACAGTGCTACTATACCATGTAGGTATAGTAGGTAGTTGGCAGCTGCCAAACAGGGAGGTACTACCACCTGGGAAGATATTGGAAGCATAATGTGTTGTCTAATGGTAGACCCTGCTGCCATATGGCATCACAAAAATTGTGACCAAGTCCCAGGTTGCTGATCTGACTTTCTGCCTCATTTACACACAATTGTAGGGTTTTATTGCTTCTCACTCTTGATCTTTTTTCATTTTGTATTTCTTTATGGTTCTTTATTATTATTATTATTATTATTGCAGTGTTGTTGTTATTATTATCATTATTCTTTTATTATTTTTATTTTTGTATATTTTATTATTATTATTATTATTATTATTATTATTATTATTAATTATTATTAATTATTATCATCATCATCATCATCATCATCATCATCATCATCATCCCCCAGGCCTGGATGTGGGTCAGTGACCTGTGCACGGGTGGGCTAATCCCCGTAAAAAAAAATGGTCTACAAGATATTGAGGTTAGGATAAGTTCGGTCAAGTTAGGTGAGGTTAGGATAAATTAGGTCAAGTTAGGTTAGGTTTGGATAAATTAGGTCAAGTTAGGTTAGGTCAGGTCAGTTTAGGTTAGGTTACACTGAAGTACTTATTTTGATATCTGGTGCTAATGAAAGCAACAACTTTGTTGAAGTGTCATGGTGTAATTTTACGTTTTTTGTGGATGTGAGAGCAGAACGCATGTAAACAGACTGAGCAGATGATAGCATGCACTGTCTCAGCAGATTTTTTGGGGGGAGTATTTACAGTAAATGATTAATTTCTTCACATACAAAGCCTGTAGAGTCATCATTTTAGTGTCATATCAGTTTTTCACTGTGTTTTACCCCACAATTTCCCTCATCCTTTGTGCCCTAACCACTACAGGTGATTTGTGATCGTATATAGAAAAAAAATATAAAATTTTAACAACTTATTATTGAAATACATTTTTTATGCCTCTTTTAAAATACTTACTATAATAAGAACATCTGTGGACACAAATTAACAAATTAGAACAACTCCTTTTGGTGGTACAGAACTGCTGTTCTCGGAAATTACCGTGTTATCCTTAAATATGACCTTTCCTCAAGAATTTAAAAATTTTCCGAGAAAATGAAGGTGAGTGTTGAAGAAAACACATTAATATACACCAGAAAACTATGTTTTTGTGTTGACAGTTTAGGGGGGACCTGTGGGTGATCGGGGATTTGTTGGGGAAGAAAAACATTGTCAATATTCGTTGACACAAACTAACCTAACCATACAAACTCACTCTCATATGAACTAGCCCTCTTAATGTTAATGACACTTTTTAACCAATTCATAAGAAGTGTCATTTTAATTTATGTTGCTGTTATATGTTGTCCACAAATAAAACTTTTCAAACATATCTCTATCAAAGGACTGTAGTAGTAACTATTGCTGGAATGACATGTTAGTCCCAAGCTGTCTGGAGGGAAATACAGGAGCTGGGTTTGTCATCAACATAGAGAAAAGGGACGGCACATATTGCTTACTGAAGAGGTTATTTGCCCTTCCTTTGCTGCTCACTGAACACATCGCTTCTGCGTTTGCCATTTTATAAGATAAGTCGGACACCCAATCTCTTAATGATCTTATGAATTATATCGACGAGAATTGGATAAATATCAGACTGCCCTATTGTCTTATTGGGTGCATTTAAGGAGCCAATAAGATAAACAACTATGTTGAAGGGTGGTATCGACGGATTAATACCCATGTAGCAAAAGGCTACACTGTTAAACCTGCAAGTACGTACACCTTCTATCTATGAACAGGTTGAAAATTTACCAAAGATCATTGAAAGAACACAGTAAATGCAGGTAAGGATTTTTCAACTTTGGGATAAATATGAACAGGACAACATAAGTACTGCTAAATTCTTTGGACAAGTGGGTCACCTATGCAAGCTCCATATAACTTACACCCAATTGTAGCTATTCTCGCCAATCCCCAATTTCAAATTTATGATGTATTTATTTTTTAATGAATAATTTATTGGTTCTAGATTTTTTTAGTTTAGTTTTTAATCTTATAATTTTGCCAATAAACATTTAATGCTATGTTGAAGTACGGTAATGGATTTTTAAAATAATTTTCGGCATTGATATTCTGTAAGAAGGGCGAGTTCTTATGAGCACAAGTTTGTATGAGGCGAATTTGCATAGGGGTGACTTCACTAGTTGCCATCTTAGACCTAGCACCATGTTTTTCCTAGCCCTTGGACCCCATGAGTGTATCGTATGGCTTGCTTTATCTAGGAGCGTTGGGGTGTTGGTACAAATTGGCGGCAGTAAGCTGGAAATGATGTTCAGGAAACTCTTTGATAAATAAGTATACTTATCAAGCCTTAAACACTTCTGCAGCAGCTTCTTCGTTTCGATAAATGTTCTTGAGATAATAATAAACAGCACGTGTGTCACAAGCCATTTCTAAATTAAAACTGGTTGCACGTAATGCATTGTGATAGGAAGCGAAATGGACATCGGCTATTGATCAGTTCTTACTTGCCACACAGTGATTGGTCAAGGGCCGGGGAAATCGGCACCATATTTTTTTTTTTTCATCAGTTTTTATTTTTGTCATTTCTTCCAAAACATTGACTTTCCATGAATTCTAAAGAATAGTTTGAAGCATATCAGAATTGAAAACAACAGAAAAAAGCCTATTTCTATTCAAAATGAGTAGGCAGTAATAATGAATAATAACTGGGATTTCTTTTGGAAATTTATACCTGTATAAACGGAGATGTAAACACTTTTTGGATTGATTACAATCAGTGTGCAGACCGGGAAGATGACACCGAGCTAAAAAAAAAAAAAAACCCTAATCTAACCTAATGACTATATTTCAGGATACTTTTCTAACCTAAGTTAACACCTTGAAGCAGAAGAAAAATTAAAAAGAGAAATAAAGTACCTGACCTAACTACACCCAACCCATTCAGGCCATCCACATCATGGTTGATACACCAATTTTAATACAGTAGAGCTAAAAAAAAATTATATTGCCGTTAATGTCAATTTGCACGAGAAATACCATAGAAGGAAGTAAATTCGGAATTAATTTATACTTAAGAAATATCCGTTGTCATCCTGAAGTCCAAGTCATGTGTTAAATTGAATGTTAACCCTTTAGGAATTACCCATTTGCCACTAACAGTATTCATGGTTTTGTTGGGGGAAGGAGGCTAGTGGTCTATGTAGAATCCCCCATTGTTCTGGATAGTCTGTACTTGGACTGCTTTGATTCCCAATACAGGGGCTCCAAATTTATGAACACCTACACTTAAGAACATGATACAATTAGATTCCCACACTTGGTGATGGTGAGAGTGTAGCATGCACAGGAGAAAAATTACTGACATACATATATATTATTTGATGTTGGAAAGTATGTGAAGAGTTTAAATGCCATTTTCCATGCTTGTCATGTTCTTATATGTGGTCATTTCTTACAACCTCTTCCCATGTAATTTTTGGCCTACCCCTGACTCTACTCCCCTCCACATTAAAACTTGTGCATCTCTTGATTAAGTTGGTCTCCTCCATTCTCTCCACATACCCTAAGCACCTCAGCCTACCTCTACACAAAACCTTATCAATGCTCTCTGTATCCATGCACCCTTTTATATCTTAACAGGATTTCCTATCTTTCAGTGTCATATTACATGTCAGACATCCACATTGCCATTCTCATTTCAGCTCACTCAAGCTGGTTGCCTGTAGCCTTCCTTTCAAGCAAAGTCCAGATCCTGTCACCATCAGTAAAGGCAACAACTCCTTAAACTTGTCCAGCTGCTTCTGACTCTTACAACTGAGCTACCTTTGCTACCCACTCCAGCACTGATCATGTCACCCATGCATTTGAACTCATTGATACAATACACAATACAATATAGTACAGTACTGTATATCCTAACATCAGACTTTTTCAGCTTTTCTAACACCACATGATTACATGCACATATATCATATACAGTGGTCCCTCGGTTAACGAGCACAATCCGTTCCAGCAGGTTGCTCGTTAACCGAAAAACTCGTTAACCGAAACCATTGTTTCAATGGGTTTTTGGGTAATTGGTTCCAGCTCACCGAAAATTGCCTAAATTCAACAAAAAAGGTAGAAAAGTACACTTACTTTGAGGTGTGTATGTAGAAGGCTCCTGGATGATGATGATGATGATGGGAATTAGAATGGGGGTGGAGGAGGAAGAAGAAGAGAAGGCATTGGGGTGGAAGAGAAGTCACCCCATGGCACCATTTCACCCATAAAATTTTAGTTCTCGTGGTGTATTTCAAGATTATTTTCTTTAAATCAACACTGCACTGCATTATATATTGTCAATATGTAAAATATATTTCAAAATGACCAATTAAATACTTGGAAACACAGAAAAAAAGCGTTAAGTTGAAGAGAGTCTCAAGCAAGATGTTACCTCCACTGAAAACAGAGAGAGACTAACGCCTGTCTGGTGTGTTAACAGGCTGGATGGCACGCCAGAAACTAGTTTCTTTACCTTCAGTTATGTTCAATAATTGTTAAAATGACTAAAAAAGTTAATATTAAACTTTTAAAATTATTGAATAGTATAAACTTCTTGATATTTACTAAAATAGTAAGGTATTTAAGCCCTAAAACCGATTACTGTATTGGCGGACTAATACTACAGCTGGTGGACCGCCAAATGCAAGCGAAAACATGTTGAAGTCGGCTCGTAAAAAACTCGTTAATCGAGGGATTGCTCGTTAACCGAAGTTAAGAATCTTATGGAAGGTAAATTGTTAACCAAAATCTCGTTAACCGAGGCGCTCGTTAACCGAGGGACCACAGTATAAAGTCCCCTCCACCTTTTGCACATTTTTTAATTGCAGCAACACCTTTCCTACGGATAGCATATGACCATTTTTTCACATTCCACCACAGTTTCTTCACCCATGCAACTGATGAACTTTCAATTAATTTTGCTGTACCTTAGAAACTCAAACATTAAAGAAGTCCTGCCTTAATTATAAGATCATAATGTCTTATTGTCAGAGGTCATCTAGTTCATTCTTGTCACTTTATTACTACAGGTACGTGCAGAATTCTATCACAAATGTTTTGAAAGAAACTTTAAGAGCATTTTGGGAAGACTATACTTTACTAGCTTGATGGAAATACACGTACTACTCAGAAATGAATATGTATGTAAATTTATCCACATTAATTTGTTACTAATTAAAAGTGGTTTTATCAACTTTTCAGACAAAATGATTATGAGAACTTCCTCTCAGTGCTGTTACTTCCACAGAATGCCCGAGCCACAGCTGTGGCCATACGTGCATTCAATGTGGAACTTGCTCAGGTGGGTTTCCAACAGTAACTTAGAGATTTATATTACTGGGCCTTGTTGTTGAACCTATACTCTGCAGTGTCTACAAAATCCAGATCACTAAAATACCCCACAAAGGGGCTTGCATTTATCAGTGGGCCTTAATGTGATTGATGGATGAATGTGATATCCAGATGGGTAATGCCTTCTTGAATAATAATTTTCACCCAGTCAAATCAGGATTGAAACTTCAATTGCATTTGATGCAATCGTTCTCTGGGGATCATTGGGGTTCAGGTCAGAGGTCAAAATCAACAATTTGAACCACCTTCTGTCACAAAATGAGTTTGTACACCTGTGCCACTAATGCCTACCATGACAATCTGACAAAAGCTGTCTCTCTCTGAGCATTAGAATTTTTATCCACATAGCCATTCTGGCTTCCTGGTGAATTTTCTGAGTATCAATAGCCAAATTATACTGTTAAACTCACTTCATAAACTACACATACCCCCTGTACACCGAACCCTTACTAATTCACTCGGGGCTCTGGGATGATCGAATTATCGCAACATATTGAAATTACCACACCTGAAATATCGATATTTGCTACACTTTTTTACATGATTTAGTTACTGGTAAGAAGAACTTAATCCACTCTGTGTGGCTCAAGGAAATCCATTAGGCTTCTTTTCTTTCTCATCTTATTGAGGGGTGTGGACACAAGATCTCTTCCTCCCTTTTCCAAACTACGTATCTTAGGTCTTGCAGGTCACTCATAAGGACCCATAGGTGATAAATGGAAAATTCAGATACTGCCTATTAAGTTGAGTGCTGTTTGGCATGCTATGTTCTACTGTAACTTACTGAACATACTGTACAGTAATGTAGTGAGCCCCCCATCACCTCTGACGCCTACCACACGACACCAAAAGCTTGAATTATCCTCACCCTTTGTCTGCAGTGCTGGCAAGCATTAATTTTTGTGAAAGTTTTCTGATTATGGTAGGTTATTTTGGTCAAAAGGTTGAGTATTGGGAGGGATGAAAGACCAGGAGGAAAGTGCCTTGATAACTCGGAATGGTTAGAACCCCATATAGTATATGGTATTCCAAGGTATCAATGGTTTACTGTATGTAAAAATAAGTAGAGTGACTGCAGGCGAGTACCCTATCACTAGGCCTACTGACACGTAACTGTGCGGCTGACCGGGCAGAGCCTGCCACTCATCCTGTGTGGCTCACATGTGTTAGGCCATTCCAAGATTGCAATTTGGAGTTTAGCTTTATTCCATACTCAACACTTCAAACTTACCTAATAATTTGTGTCTGACTCAACATATCCAACTGAGTGTGTAACTTATGTAAACTAAGTCTATTGTACATAGACTTTCATTACATTGTTCGTTGATTTTGTTTGCATATCAGAAATTGCTCCTCTGTTTCAACTAAATTTCATTTGGTTTTGTGTGTTTTCCTTAATACAGTAATTTCTTTTTCTTTTTTCATATTCTAATGCAATTTTACCAAAAAATAATTATCCAATACTGTAGTTCATGGTAAATAAAAAAATTAATATAAATATTAGAGAGAAGATCCTGAACATTTCTTTAGACATACCATCTAATATGGAAAAAACCCTGGATTTGATCTAAGATTAATGAGAGATAATTGTTTGTAGTGTTTATTTTAGGTATCAGACATGACGTCCGAGACACTGATGGGCAAAATGCGGCTCCAGTTTTGGAGAGACACTTTGGACCAAATATATCAGGGTACAGCTCCCAAACAACCTGTGGCCTTAGAGTTGCAAAGGGTAAGTTTGAAAATGTTATAACTTATTTCAGCTTTTATATCTCATAGGCACCATACATATGTAAAGAAAAGTTACCTTTCATCTCCAGTTGTCTTGTATCTTTTCCTGGAAAGAAAGGAAACATAAGGAAAAGACAATTCTTTCCCTGGTATGGTGTAGGAGGACTGGATAGGTGTTGATCCCCAGATTACTAGGATTCAACAACTTGTTAGGTCCCCACATACACACACACCTCTTTGGTAGGATACTACAGGTATTTCACCCAATGGTTGTAACATTTCAAACACGTACATCCAATAGTATGCAGTATTTTTTTTTTATTATTATGTAAGGGCTAGTGCACAAGAATGGAACCCAGTCTTCCATTCATGTAAAGAATCCAACCTGGGACCCATCACTAAGGCATAAAGTCATTAGTGTTACAGTACTGTACACTATTTAAGATTTATTACTGTAGTATCATGGTTTATTTAGGTACTTCATTAACCATGGTCTTTCACCACCATAAACTGTATTTTAATTTTTACACAAACTTTTGAAAATTAAGAACAAAATGTTGTTGATATTATTGAATGTATGCAGAACTGTACCTCTACTGTATACAGTGATCCCTCGGTTAACGAGCGCCTCGGTTAACGAGATTTCGGTTAACGATTTACCTCCCATAAGATTCTTAACTTCGGTTAACGAGCAATCCCGCGATTAATGAGTTTTTTACGAGCTGACTTCAACATGTTTTCGCTTGCATTTGGCGGTCCACCAGCTGTAGTATTAGTCCGCCAATACCCTAATTGGTTTTAGGGCTTAAATTCCTTACTATTTTAGTAAATATCAAGAAGTTTATACTATTCAATAATTTTAAAAGTTTAATATTAACTTTTTTAGTCATTTGAACAATTATTGAACATAATTGAAGGTAAAGAAACTAGTTTCTGGCGTGCCATCCAGCCTGTTAACACACCAGACAGGCGTTAGTCTCTCTCTGTTTTCAGTGGAGGTAACATCTTGCTTGAGACTCTCTTCAACTAAATGCTTTTTTTCTGTGTTTCCAAGCAAATTATTGGTCATTTTGAAATTTATTTTACATATTGACAATATATAGTGCAGTGTTGATTTAAAGAAAATAATCTTGAATTACACGAAGAGAACTGAAATTTTATGGGTGAAATGGTGCCATGGGGTGACTTCTCTTCCACCCCAATGCCTTCTCTTCTCCCTTCTCCTCCACCCCCATTCTAATTCCCATCATCATCATCATCCAGGAGCCTTCTACATACACACCTCAAAGTAAGTGTACTTTTCTACCTTTTTTGTTGAATTTAGGCAATTTTCGGTGAGCTGGAACCAATTACCCAAAAACCCACTGAAACAATGGTTTCGGTTAACGAGCAACCTGCTGGAACGGATTGTGCTCGTTAACCGAGGGACCACTGTAATCACAAGAACCCAGAATGCTTAAGCAAGAGCCCTCTCTTGATTTCTGATTTTCATGGAAGTCTGATACAGTACAGTATCAATCTATCAGGTTTGGTAAGGTGTACAGTATTGCACTAAGTTAGTATAAGTTACTATTCGCGGTTTTGCCTATCCACGCTATTCCTTGGAACCTACCGGTAACCCCTGTGGATAACAAGGGTTTACTGTATTATATTTTCTTTATTTCTAAGCCCTTTTGTTTATATAGAGTGGAATAAGTGGGTTTATTTAGAGTGCTTTATTACCCAAATATACCCGTGTGGGAGATCCAGCAGGTCTTATGTTGCTCGGGCTTTAAGGGTTAATAACTGTAAGAATGCTAAAAGAATTATTTAAGTTGTGGTAATGGACTGATTTATTGAGAAGCTTGTATGTCAGATTCTCCCTCATGGCTGATGGTCAACTGATGATGTTTTTTCTATAACAGTGCCATTAATTTGGAGTTGCTGGTCAGTGGACTGCCAGATGAGAAAGGGTTAGCCTGTACTGTAATTGATAAACTGTAACATGTATAATTATTTGAATTGTTCAGTAAAATATGAGAAAGAAAAGTTAACATGTGGCTTTCTTTTATAAAAAAAATTGTTTATTGAAGGGTAAAACAGTACAGTACTGTATAGTATTTACTGTATACGGTAGGGTTCAACCAAGTACTTACAAGAGTTTTAAACATAAAAATACCCTGTACCATGATACACTATGTCAGTTTCAACTGCTTGTTGGTTTGGATGTACAAATACTGTAGTATAATGCAGTGCAATATGCTTTGTACTGTATACAAAATATTATGAAAAAACATAAATCTCTTTTAGTGAAGGTCATTTGTACATTAAAGAATACTATACAGCACAGTATACATGTACAGTGACCCCTCCGTTAACGAACTCAATCCGTTCCAGAAGGTCGTTCGTTAACCGAAAAGTTCGTTAACCGAAACCATTGTTTCAATGGGTTTTTGGGTAATTGGTTCCAGCTCACCGAAAATTTCGTAAATTCAACAAAAATGGTAGAAAAGTTCACTTACTTTGAGGTGCGTATGTAGAAGGCTCCTGGATGATGATGATGATGATGGGATTTAGAATGGGGGTGGAGGAGAAGGAAGAAGAGAAGGCATTGGGGTGGAAGAGAAGTCACCCCATGGTGCCATTTCACCCATAAAATTTTAGCTCTCTTGGTGTAATTCAAGAGTATTTTCTTTAAATCAACACTGCACTGCATTATATATTGTCAATATGTAAAATATATTTCAAAATGACCAATAATTTGCTTGGAAACACAGAAAAAAAGCGTTTAGTTGAAGAGAGTCTCAAGCAAGATGTTACCTCCAGTGAAAACAGAGAGAGACTAACTCCTGTTTGCTGTGTTAAGAGGCTGGATGCCGCGCATTAAACTAGTCACTTTACCTTCAATCATGTTCAATAATTGTTAAAATGACTAAAAAATTGAATATTAAACTTTTAATATTATTGAATAGTATAAACTTCTTGATATTTACTAAAATAGTAAGGAATTTAAGCCCTAGAACTGATTAATGTATTGGCGGACTGATACTAAAGCTGGTTGCCCGGTCAGTGCAAGCGAAAACATGTTGAGGTCGGTTCGTAAGAACTTCGTTAACCGATTTTTATTTCGTTAACTGAATTGAAGATCCTTATGGAAGGCAGTTCGTTAATCGAAATTATGTTAACCGAGGGGTCACTGTACTGTATATGTAGAGTACAGTATTGTATATAATACAAATTTGCAGTGTTGCTTCTTTCCTCTTCAGGCTGTAGAGATGCACAGACTGTCTAAACGCTGGTTACGAAGTCTGATTGATAGCCGTGAGGAGCAGTTGGATAATAAGCAGTTTGCATCTATAGCATCAGTGGAGAACTATAGTGAGAAGTGCAATTCCCCCTTGTACTACCTCATACTCCAAGGATTGGGTGTGTAGTAAGCATTCACCATTAATGTTTGTTATACTCTTAACAATGACAAGATACAGTTGCACAAAAGATGATGTAATTTATAGAACATACTTAATTTTACATTCTGTATGAAGAAGTATGATTATCATAGGAATAGATTTGATATGTACAGTATTACCAAATATTGTGTGATGGACTAGGAAAGATACACATGATAGTGTGTCCTCAGAAGGCCAGTATAACTAACAAGGAACCCATATTCAAGCCTTGCTGGCCGAGTACACTTCTGTATACTGTATAAGAATGACAAAGATGTATGATATAACTTTGCAGTAAGCGGTGAATATATGCCCTGCATCTAAAGAGTTGTATGTAGTTATATGGTATCGTCTATCATTAACAACTGGCAGCTCAATGAGAGACTAAATATGACCAGTATATTATTACAGTCCACTTGTTTTTAGAGTGTAATTATTGGTAAATGGCATAACTCATAAAGCTAATTGTTGGTGGAAGTTTACCTAACCCTTGTACATTATGACCTCTGTAATACTGAACTCGCAATTTATCAAATGTGGTGGCTACAGTTTCGACTCTCACCCCAACATAGACTTCAGCTAGATAACATTTACCTGTGTCAATGACACAGTCTGTTAATCCCCTCGTACATTATGACTCAAATCACGTCAAATCATTGGACAGCACTATGTACTGTATTTATATTGGTGATGCAAATTGTGTCATTAAACTTTAATAAATTTGCACCCCCAAGTTTTCAAGATAATTGTGTCAAATTTTCGTGTATCAAAGATGATTACATGTTCTTGCGAGGAAAGCTTTCAGAAAATACCAAAGCGTGGGTGAAGTTCCGCTGTCCACTAGTTTCCTCCCGTCAACCATGCTGGTAGGTCTCATTTGTCACTTTATTTTATCTCTTTCCCTTCCCACAATTAGTCTTACCAAAATTTCAAAACCAATATTGGAAAGCTCATAAAATTCTGCTTCTATAAGTACCGTATATATAATACTTCGGTAGGTTTGTGAGAAAATATCCAAGATATGATGCTGGTAACAAATAATGTTTGTTATAGACATAAAAACATAAGAATGGAGGAAAGTGCAGCAGGCCTACTGTCCCATGCTGGGCAGTCCCATTTACACCCAACCCCTGTCGCTCATATATCTATCCAACCTATGTTTGAAGCTATCCAGCGTATTCGAGTTAATGATGATGTTTGGTAACTTGTTCCACTCATCCACTACTCAATTTCCAAACCAGCCCTTCACAGTATTTTATTTGGCTAATGCCAGACAATTTTATTCAGCTCAGAGGGGTTCTGTACACAAGGGTTTAGTAGACTATCTTCACTTTGGGATGCCACACATTGGGTTAACTTGGTAAAATTCCCATATTAAATTAAAATTATTTCACTTGTTTTGCTTGTTTAATAATTTATGATCATTACTCTATACTATATTTTATTCTGGTGTCATCTGGGAATCAGTGTATCAAGTGAGGGAGTTTTGAATTTAGTCCAGTATAACGATATTATTGTCTATGTAGTGTTCAGACTACAACGACACATCCTCATGTTCATGTAAACAAAGATGGTAGTGGTGCAAGCACCAAATGTGGTGTTTTTATTTAATTTGTCTTTAGAAAAGACCTGAATATCAAAAATGGTATTTTCCATCCAATTTGCTTTATTATTGAGATAAGAAATATGTGTTCTTCTATACTTATTTTCTATTAGGTGGCTGGTTAACTCAGGCTCGTGTACCTAAATAATACTGTGTTAGTTTTAGCCAGTGTCCTCCTCCCCTTAGGATTAATTTTTACCATGTAAGATGCAGAAGATGGGTTACAACTGCGAGGAAAATAATGTACATTTCAAAATGTAACTACTGTATGCTATACAATGTAATATGAACATAATAGTACAATACAAAATACTCTCACATTACCATTACACATCGATCGATGCACAGTCATTCTCCACACTCGGTCACCAACCATGCACACAGCTACTCTTTACACTGTGTAACAACAAAAAAAGGTGAAAGAATATACAGTATTAATAAAATACTTTATGTACTGTACAGTATATACAGTCAATCCTCATATTACGCGGTTAATGTAACCCGGAGGGTACCGCGGAAAGTGAGGAACGCGTAAAGTGAACAACATAACATATGGGATTAATTGAAATGGAGTCCAGGCCGATCCCCAAACTCCACTTTTTGACGACACACAACTATGTTGTAGTAAAAATATTATCTTAACTTTATGATGGCATGCACACACAATTAATAATTAAGAGAAATATCAATAATATTAGGTTTTTTAACACTTACATTAGTAGAAAAGATGGCTGGGCACACGGGGATGGGCGGTTGGTTCCGAGGCAGAGGGCAGATTATTGGCCCTCACCTGTATCACTTGTATCAATTGTATCACTATCCACCACAGAGGCTTGCAGGGCCTCTTTGTCAAACCCCCCAAAGTTCATATAAGTCCATATCCTCACTATAATTATCACTATCACTGACTTGGGCCGGCTGTAGTGGGTGGCGGGTGAAGAACTGGTAATGTTTTGATGACTGGGCGACCTTGTGCGCACCATTTTCGCGCCTCTTACACAACATGGCGGATGGCGGGAGGTTTGGATCCAAAAATGGCGCGGCTTGCCAGCCGCTCTCCGAGTAATGGGGTTCACGACCGCGGAATGTGAGCATGTTAGGTTCTGGCAAGGCATCGCGTTAACGGTGAAACGCGGAATGCGGGACCGCGTAATATGAGGATTGACTGTACTGTAGATATAAATGTCACCACATTACTCACAAACTCAAACTTGAATCTTGGCGACTTTGTGGAATTTTTAACGTAACAGACTTATGAATTTTGGATTTTTGAGCTTTTACTGTACAGCAATCTCTTGTTCTTCACAGTTTTAACTATTTACAGTTGGTCACCATTTTGCACAGCCACAATTCAATAGTTCTCACACTAAGTAATGCAGTCCAGCTGTTCTGCTGTTGTACTGAACACACTAGTGATATACCTGTATTGCATTAGAACTTTTGTCTGTTTATCCTGCATCCACGGCCTTTAAAAATCAAGCAAGTGATGATAGTCATTCACCCCCTTGAGTTAAAGTGGTGGGAAGGGAAAGGAAAGTGACAACACGAGTGCAGATAGTTGAATTGGTTGATAAACTTGCAAGTGGAATGAGTGTTGTGGCTGTGGGTAGGGTGTTTGGCATAAACAAGTCAACCATTCACTTCAGCTTGAAGATAGAAAAAGAAAAAAAGGATACTGTTGCTTCAGGTACTTCCAAATGTGAAAGTTTCTCCTGTGATTCATGACTGTTTGTGGATGGAGAACTAGCACCAGAAAAATGTGCCAGTGGACCAAAGTGTTATCATTGAGGTAATTGGCAACACACTATTCTCCCTATTATTGAATATATTTTTTCACTCAATCTTTCTCCTTTTTGGATGGGGGGCTACAGTAGTGTACTATTTATAGAGGTTAAATCAGGGGTGGGCAATTATTTTTGATGGAGGGCCACTTCATGAATGATGGCAGACTTCGCGGGCCACAGGTTAACAGCGACGAGCCAGTATTGCTGTTATGTCCACCCAACTTCCAAAATTGTCCTTTTTGTAATTAATAAAAAAAAAAAATTTCTGTTTGCCAAATGCAGTGGCGGGCCACATTTGGCCTGCCAAATGTGGCCTGCGGGCCGTACTTTGCCCACCCCTGGGTTAGATTGTAGGTGAAATTGATTTGAAATACTGTACCAGTATCCTGTTTCATTCATGTACTAATTGGTGAAATAGAGCAGTTCAGCTGTTTCAGTTTGCAGTATATTACAAAGAATTATGGGATGTTAATATTATTTATTGTAACTCAAAAGTTTAGTACAGTACCTGTACATGCTGAAGCTCCCATTTCCGACAACCATGGAACCAGCTATGAGTTGAATATATTAAATAACCATTATTTAGAAGGTAATATTTCTTATTATTTGTAGCAGGTTACCAATACAGTACGCCCGGATAATTCGCAGTCCTCTACTACATTATTCGCGGATGACACCCTGGATGTACCCAAGAATTTCTGCGGGTACTTTAAAAGTTGCTGGCATTTTCGCATCCTGGACACGGAGCCATTCGTTCTAGAGACAGTAATTTCTTTTACCTTT